CTTGCTTTAATGGGATTTGTAACTTTTAAAATTAAGATACATTAATGATGAAAGAATCATTATAGGTCTACCTGAGTATAGTTTTTTTTTTACTTAAGTTTTTTAATCATAACTAGCATATGATATTTATAAAAACTATTAAAATTGGTAAGATCAGAATTATTTTAATTTCTTTCAAATTTCTAAACTTTATCATTTTTAGATATGTAAAAAAAAATCTGGGATTACAATTTCCCAGTTCACCGGGATTCCGGAAATTCCCGGTTTAATGATTTTTCCCGGTGTATGGAATCCCACATCAAAACCTGAATCCCGCAAAATCCCGCCCGGGATATGCAATCCCGGTGGGATCCCAGGAATATCCCGTTGGGATCCCGCTCATATTTTCTCTTGGGTTATTATTGTATTTTGTGTTATTATATGTGGTAATTGATGAAGATTTTCAGTGTATTTCTTAGGAAGCTCTCCACTGTTGTACAAATGCCTAAATATCTTAAATCTTGAATTAAATACATATTAAGAGGATATTGAATGAGTGTAATTGTTTAATACTAAATTTATTCAACAAGTTAAATAAAATAATATTATGTGAGCCTCTGGTGAGCATACTATTATTTTATTCAACAAGCTCAATAAATTTAGTATTGAATCTACACAAATAAAATGTTCTATAAAATAAGAACAGTAAACTGTTAAAAAGTTGTTTTTCATTGACGTGCCTATAGTGTAACGCTAACATTAGCGCACTAAATTTAATGCTATGTTTATATATAGCGCAAATGACGTCACATCAAACTGTTTTATCATGCAACTGCTATGGTAACTGCTCGATAACACTTGCCCGATAATTATTTTTGATATCACGTCAGTAGCCTGATATCAAAAATTAGCCCCGCCCAATATAACGGACTTTTTTCAATTGCTTATATTCGAGCATTTTCATCAGCATGTGAATTCTACAATGTAATCTCATACCCTTACAAGTCTTGAATCAATATGCGAAATTTATTTATTATTTGGATTTCAATTACGAATAAATTAGATAGCGAATAATTTTAGCACCAACTTAATGAAGTGACGTCATAATTTATATTGCAAATGACATCATCGATGTTCACGTCATACTATACATGTAATCATAACAAACAGGCTGACGATTTTCTTTGAGAACTTGTAAATGTTTACTTTATTTCGCCGGATTATTATTTAATAAGTGAACAAATTGTTTCGTTAAAAAAATAAGACGTAGTCTATGTTTGTGTAGCTTGTGTTTGATTGCCGATTTCACTTTTCTTTGATTGACATTATCGTGAACTTTTGAATTTGACAATTCAAGACAAAAATTGCAGTAAAGTTTAGTTTATGTGATTCTAAGCGGATTTTTGGATCGATGTTTAAATTAAAGGTAAGAATGTTATCGTATTAGGCATACATTCTGTTGTATCTTTTATCCGAGTCGAAAGAAAAAATGGCCGCCAATTACAAATTCTAAGTGTCAGGGGCGGAGGAATTTGTTTTCAAGAATTATTTCTTTGAACAAAAAATCCCCTTTTTTTAAACGAAATTCGCTATATAAAAGTAGATTATTTTGTTATTTTGACAGTTATTATGTGTTACATGATAAATAAAAAAACATGCTACTGTCTTTTGATATCAATGTTATCAGACTCGGCTGATATGGGCAGAAAGGGCTCGGCAAGCCTCGCCCTTTCTAGCCCATAACAGCCTCGCCTGATAAAATTGATATCAAAAGACAGTAGCATGTTATTCTCTATATTTCACACTAGTGTAATTTCATTTTTATTAAATAGCTTTATTACAATCCTGTGCTGGGGTTTATGTGATAAAGAATGATTATGCTAAAATATGTGAATTAAAATTGATCCAATTTTTTAATGTTAAAATTTGAAATTGATGTGCATGCACTGGCTTACGCCGAGCCTATATATGTATTTACCATACTCTAGTTTGTTTTATTGCAGTATAATAACTGAAATGTACATTGTGTACATGTATGTGACCAAATTTAATTAATGTTAAACAATTGACTTAATGTTTCCCCATGCAAATTTGTTCAACTTTTGCAATTATGAGCAAAAAAATGTTGAATAATTGACTTTATGTTTTTAGTGCAAATTTTGTATGATTTGTGCATGTTTGACCAAAATAATGTTGATCAATTAACTTCATGTTTCTTGTGCAAATTTTGTGTTATTAATGTGATCAAAATAATGCTGATCAATTTACTTTATATTACTTGTGCAAATTTTAGATGATTTTTGCATGTATGACCAAAATAATGCTGATCAATTGATTTCATGTTTTTCGTGCAAATTTTGTATGATTTGTGGTCCATGTATGACTGAAATAATGCTGATCAGTTTCAAACATGTTTCTTGTGCAAATTTGTGCAAACATTTAATATGCATGTGTTTATCAATTTTGTAAATATTTTTGTTTCTCTGTTGCATGTTTTATCATGTTGTGAGCTTGACTGTCTGTTGGGATATCTCACCTGTATTGTGTACAGTATTGTCTCTATTTAACGCCCCTGGGGGCTTAAATTCTTTCAAAGGAGGGGGGGGGGGGGGGGCGCTTAATTAGAACTACAAAAATCTGCTTTAAATTATGTATATCCAAGATATAATTCAATTATAAAAATCATTATTCATTATTATGATCTAATATATAATATACAGGATTATATTTTTAATAATTTACGGTTTAATATAACGCAATTCATATATAAGCCAATTACACAGTTGATAATATTGTTTTTGTGCCCCCACTTTAGTGGCGCGCATTTAGATTTACCTTGTCCGTCCGTCCTTCTGTCTGTCCGTCCGTTCACTTTTGTGTCGCACATCATAAACTCAAAAAGTATTTGACCTAGAGTCATGAAACTTTACAGGAATGTTGATCAGCATGTGTTGTTGTGCACCTGGGTATTTTCGTCAGGATATTTATAGGATTTTTAGAGTTATTGCCCTTGACTTAGTAAAATTTTGCAATTTTCAACTTGTGTCGCATGTAACTCAAAAAGTATTTGACCTAGAGTCATGAAACTTCACAGGAATATTGATCAGCATGTGCAGTTGTGGATTTATTTAGTATTTTTAGAGTTATTGCCCTTGACTTGCAATTTTCAACTTGTGTCACAAGTTACTCAAAAAGGATTTGACATAGAGTCATTAAACCTTATGGGCAGGTTGCTCAGCATATTTAGATTTGCACCTGGAGTTTCACTTGTGGATTTATCCAGTATTTGTAGAGTTATTTCCCTTGACTTAGTAAAAAGATTGACAGAACAGTGGTGCGGTGGGGGCACCCGTGTCCTATGGACACATTTCTAGTTTTTTTCTGTCTGCACTGTACACATTTTTTAGTCTTACTGATGGATTCTGCTGTATTACCATCTGCAATTGAGAAGACATTGCCATAATTTATAACAAAACATTGTGTTGAAAAACACTTTTAAATGCACTCTCCTTTTGAATTACAGCAATCATACATTCTTAAACACTTATTTTCATCCTGAATGCAATGTCATTTTTGTGTCGCCTTCAAAAGGCGACATATAGGGGTTACTTTTGTCGGCGGTGTCGGCGGCGTCTGTGTCGTTGTCGGCGTCCCCTAAAGCTTGTCCGGAGCATAACTCAGTCACTATAAGTCTGGTTGACTTCAAACTTGGTATGCATGCTTCTTTCAATAACCCGAAGTGCAGTGCACAAGGACCGGTACTCTGCAGTTCTTAATTTTTTAGTTATTGCCCTTTGTTAATTTTCATACTTTAATTTTGTCCGGGCCATTTCTCTTCAACTAAAAAAGCTATGGACTTGAAACTTCATAGGATGATAGATCTCATTAAGAAGAAGTGCAGTGCACAAGAATCGGTACTCTGCACTTCCTAATTTTTGAGTTATTGCCCTTTGTTAATTTTCATACTTTATTTTTGTCCAGGCCATTTCTCCTAAAGTATAAAAGCTATGGACATGAAACTTCATAGGATGATAGATCTCATTAAAAAGAAGTGCAATGCCCAAGAACTGGTACTCTGCATTTTTTATTTTTTGATTATTGCCCTTTGTTAATTTTCATACTTTATTTTTGTCCAGGCCATTTCTCATAAATTATAAAAGCTTTAGACTTGAAACTAATTATCTTATTGATAAGAAGTGCAGTGCACAGAAACTGCTGCTCTGCATTTCTTATTTTTTGAGTTATTGCCCTTTGTTGATTTTCAAATTTCATTTTTGTCCTGGCCATTTGTCCTAAACTATATTGTTCACAAGGCGACACATCCGACTCGCGGAGTTCTAGTTCATGAATGGTTTTCAAAGCTATTAAGTTGTCACTTTTCATGAATCATCAGAATGGTTGCAAAAATGTATGGTTTTCATTTTTCATGAATAGTTTCAAAGATATTTGGTTGTCACTTTTCATGAATGTTTTTCATAGGTATTAGGTAGTCACTTTTCTTGAATGGTTACAAAGATATTTGGTTGTCACTTTTCCTGAATGGTTTCAATTTCATGAATAATTATGCATGTATAATTCTAATAATGCATGTGTCACTTTTATGATACTTTCATGATTTACAAAGTCACTCTTCGTGTATTATTTATATATGTAATAGTCTCTCTTATCATGAATTTTTTTCAGATATATGTACATTTTGTATCCTTTTTAAAATAGATGAATTTACTGAATTAGCACAGGTCACTCTTCATAAACGGTTATAACAATATAATTTTCTGTCCCTTTTCATGAATAAATGGAAAGGGCACAAGTATCAGTAGCTTCCTGAATGTGTGTGTCACTTTTCATGAATGTATTTAAGAAATATGGAACTTGTCACTTTTCCTGACTTATAACATAGATGTAAAATGGCACTCTTTATTAACGATTTTAAAGAACCAATATTGTGTCACTTTTCATGAAGTGTTTCAAAGAAATATTGCTGTCACTTCCATGATTGATTTTCATGAATGTTTCTTAAAAACATTAGTCATGAATGATTTTTCTAAATGTGTGTCACATTTCTTGAATGATGATAAAGATGAATGTGTCACTTTTCAAATGGACATTTTATTTTTGTTCACAGTTCACCGCTCTGTACCTGTGGCAAGGACAGAGGTTTGGGAAGAAGAGCCAAGTTCTGCTAGACTTCGATGGCATCGCGCCTATATCCCTCGCTATTATAGTTCTACACCAATTAGTTACAGGTAATAAATGTATATTTATATTATAATTTATTATAACTTTCATGCTGTAGAAATATACAGATATAAAATGTGTGTCGAGTGGTCTTCAAATCTTAATCTTGAAATTTCTGAATTTCTTAAATAGAATTGTCCAGCTTGAGGTTATTACTATAAACTTGAGGTTAAGAATTAATTTTCTTATAATCTTGAGGTTAGTAATAATTGCCTTATAAACTTGAGGTAAGTATTAATTGCCTTATAAACTTGAGGTTAAGTATTAACTTTCTTATCAACTTGGGGTTAAGTATTGATTTTCTTATAAACTTGAGGTTCAGTATTGATTGCCTCATAAACTTGAGGTTAGTTATGAATTGCTATATAAACTTGATGATAAGTACTAATTTTCTTATAAAATAGAGGTTTAATATTGATTGCCATATAAACTTGAGGTAAAGTATTTATTGCCATTAACATTGAGGGTTAAGTATTAACTGCCTTATAAACTTGACATTATGTATTTAATGTCTAATAAACTTGAGGTTAAGTATTGATTTTCGTATAAACTTGAGGTTAAGTATTGATGGCCCTATAAACTTAAGATTAAGAATTGATTGAATTTTACATTATATGACAGGTCTTGAGAAGTTCTTCCCAAAACATTTTATATTTTCTTATAATTGGCTTCTCAAAAAGCTTGCTTATGGTTATAAAATTCTACCTACATAGACAACTGTGTCCCAGTGTTTGACGATAACAATATATGAATTATATGCACTAGTTACTACAGTTAGTTCAATCCTGGCTGAGTTTTATTTATCTGTCTGAGTTTTGTATGCTACCAAACAAAATACACATATGTGCATAGCATGTCAAATATATGATAGCTAAATTACTGTAGACATTTCTAGCAAATGTTGGTAATAAATGTTTCTTGTCTCAAAAGTGATATTTCTCTGTGAAACCTTGGCATTATATATGATATATGAGAGTGAAATATTAAAGCTGCATGCCTCCAGATGAACCAAAATATTTCAAGAAAATCAAACTTGACATAAAATGTTTGTTATACGTTCCGTTTGCAATGAATAAAGTATTTTCTTTGTTCATTTCACAATATTTCACTTGTTAATACATTTTCAAAATTTTTGTGAAAACTATATCAGGAATTTGAACTTTAAAGCAAACTATCCATATGTTAAGATTAGAAATACTTTTTGTTGAGTTATTTTTAAAGAAATATTCTATGTTTAAAAAGCTTTTTCTTTACATTATATAATATAAAGTAAAATGTTTTAATTTAAAAGATGTATGTATGTATATATATATATATATATATATATATATATATATATATATATATATATATATATATATATATATATATATATAATTTAGAAATGTTCTTTTTTAAGAAAAATTTTTTTTAGAAAAAAAATTCTATATTTAGAAAATATTCTAATTTTAGAAAATGTATTTTCTAGAAATGTTCTGTTAATAGTAATGTTCTATTTTTTTAGAGTTGAAATGCAGGAAGCAGGGGAAATTGACACAGAATGGAAGTCAGTTGCCACAGATATAAGGACATCAGACTACACAGTGAAGAATATTAGTCCCCGCAAGGACTATAGGTTCAGGATCCGAGCTCAGACTGAAAATGGCGACGTCAGTGACCCCACACCACCAATACAGTTTTATAGAACCAGGGGTAAGTTTGTCTTATAAAAGAAGTTTTGTTCATATACACTTAGTACAAAGATGTCTATAAGCTTTATATGGTGAACTATAAAAGTAACTGTGGGCTTATATTTCTCAAGCCACTGGGAAAAATGTAATGAGTGTAAAAGTGGCAGTTTTATTTAAAAAAATATATATTAAAGACGTTTTCTGGAGTTTTCATATAGGCAAAATTAAAACTGTTCAGTAGAATTTCTTTAAACTTGGCATGTTGTTAGAATATGATAACAAAAACATTTTAAGCAACAAAAAATTGGGGTCACCGTTCTCATTTTTGAGTTATCTGCCCTTGAATTGGACTTTTTTGTTAAATTCAAGGACAGATAATTTACAATGAAGGGTAACAATACAATTTATTTTCTTATTTTCATGAAGCTTACCTTCGTTTTAGTTGATATGCAAAATTTCAAGAACAAGTTTAGAGTGGGTAGTTTTTATTCCCACTTCTTCTTTTAACCTGTGCCTTTTTTTAAAAATTTAAAGTACCTCTATTTTCATTGAAAAAAATTAACAGAAACGATGTAAGGAATTGCTTGTTATTATGTATTGTACTCAACAATAAAAAGAAAAACATAATTCAGAAGTAAAAACAAGAATTCATTTAAGTATGTATAAGTTATCTGCCCTTGAAATGACAGCAAATAAGTAGAAAAGTCTGATTCAGGGGCAGATAACTCAAAAACGAGAACGGTGACCCCAATTTTTTTTTCGCTTAAAATCTGTTATCATATTCTAACAACATGCCAAGCTTAAAGGAATTCTATAGAACAGTTTTAATTTTGCCTATATGTCTATATGAAAACTCTCGAAAACATCCTTAAGATAACAAACCACTTTAATGTACATGTAGGATTTTTGATGGGATTATTTTAAAAGCCGGATTATTTATGTTCATAATAATTATTTTATTTGATTGTTTTTCAATATCTAAATTTAAACATAGAATTAATAAAGAGGATATTCTATCTTTTTCAAAAAAAAAGAAAAATAAGAAAATTGTCTTGTTTTCAAACTCAGCTTATTACCGCTTTTATCCTAAGCACTGCCATATTGTGTATGTGTGGGGGGGGGGGGGGGGGGAGGAGAAGGGAATTGGTTGAAGGCCACATTTGACTGATGCATTACCTTCTTGTTTATCACCAGTTATATCATGTTAATTCCTTTGGGTTTTTTTTTTCTGGATTTTCATTGTAATTATATATGTTTTTCAGTACCTCTACTCAAGGACAGTGAGAATGCCCTGGCAGAATTTAAGCCTGTGGAATATAAGGCAATTTTCCTCAAACACCCATACTACGAACAACTTACAAAATATGGTAAGAAATTGTTGGTCTCTGTTTTGTTTTGCAAGGGGGTTGGGGAACTGGTTGAGTGTGTTTTGTTGTAAACAAAAAGTGAATTAAGGGAACAGAGCCGGTGTGTAAAGAGTGAAAAAGGATGAACAATATGATTTGGGATTATGTGGGGGTGATTTTTTGGGAGTATGGATTCAGTGCATTACAAACATAACTGAATGCAATCTTTATAATATTAAACATACATTTTGGAAGTTGAGAAGTAAATAATATTATTTTACTGGACATAAAAGTTTAATTGAAATTGTTTAATTTATGATATATGTAGCATGATGTCACTTAAATGCATAAATCATGTATATAAGAATGTAATATAATACAAGTTGATAGAAAATTTGGTCAGTTATTTAACTTAAAGGAAATTGAAGTCGAAATTAGTTTAATTTCACTTGTTCATGTTATCAAAATATTTGAAAAAAAAATTTCATGATGTTATTATCATATTAGACCTTTAATGTACAAGTAATAATAACTTACAGTGATGAGTACCTGTTATAAACTATTACATAAATCTCAATCAAGTATGGCTCACAAATTTTTTAATATTTGTTGCAATTTTATTATACTATATTATTTTGTAACTAAATTTAGCACACAAGGCAATACATGATGATGCAATGTTTATTTCAGTACCCCCAACAATGCCTATCCACAAACCTGACATGATCATTATAGACCAAGAGACCATCGAGCTGAGTTGGAGACCGGCCATAGTTGCCGAGGCCATCCGAGGACAGTGTAATCTGACCTACACAATTGAGGTAAGGCATAAACCAGTTACAGTCCTAGCATTACGATAATAGTGATTTTCCTATCCCAGCAGTATAGAGTCAGGCTATGCTGTGCATGCATGCAGTCTGAATCTTAGCTTTTTAAAACTTTTGAAACTCGCAGATTCATATTTGCATGACTGTTTCCGTAAAGCATTAGAAACTTGTCATATAGCAATTATAACCTCCGTTGGCCACCATTTTGAGGGTCATTCTAAATATATTATATGCCTAAGATAAAATAAAAACCTTTTAATTCTATCATCCTCATGAAAACTGATAAAAATCTTACATATTCGTGCTATAACAAAAATGGCTTTCATATGTATAAAATATTTTGACAATTCACCTGAATCAGCTATAATGAGTTTTTTCATATTTTGTCAATAATATTATATAGGATATTTGCTTTTGGGTGTTACAAGGCTGTTATAGATATTGATGACAAATTTCTATAAGAACACTGCTTACATGGAGGGCGAAAAATGTTTGCTTCAGAACTTTTACAAACTACTCTAGTAACTCTACCTACTTTTCCAATGTTACACAATCATGACATATCTTGATTTACGTCATATGTAATTTAAAGTAACTATTTTTACAGGTACGATGCCCGCCAAGCTTTGAGTGGAGACAGTTGGTAACGGGATTGAAGGTTTGCAGCCATACGGTACAGAAGCTTCATCCCCGTATAGATTACATCTTCAGGGTTCGAGCCTGGAACGAGTACGGTTGTTCAGATGCTGGCCTACCGGTCTCTCTCTACAGACCAGCAGGTTGGTTTTATAGAATATAATACCTTATTCCGATGTGAATTTTTCAATAGAAGGGTGCCTTTGTGGCTGAGTGGTTAAAGGTCTTTAACTACAAATGACTTGCTCTTCTGCTCTTCACTGCTGTAGGTTTGAATTCCACCACTACACTAGTGTAATATCACATTTACACGAGTCATGTATTTGAAGAAACTTAAGCTGTTACAGTCACCTATTTGTGGGCATTTAAATGGGCATCCCTGTGTTAAGATTTTACATGTAAGTCATCTCAGTAACTACTGAACAGACGCCAGGGGAGGTCTATATTAGAGACATAGGCTACTTTTGTTTCCAGCATCCTAAGGGGTATAACAGGCAAAGGTTTTACTCTAAGAATGAATAGTTTAACATTTTATTGTGGTTAGTTTGACAAGCACCTGTCTATGTTATAATGTAGATTATTTTATATAAGGATCACAAGTTTATTGCAATTGCTTTCAGAAATAGCATCAAGTGGCTTTGTGCAAAATAACTTCTTTTTAATATTGTTATGTTTTTGTTAGTAAATCATCATTTCTGAGAGCCATACCTTCTAGATTAATTAACATTCTGTGTAGTCTGCAGGAGTAGAAATATTTGTGTAGAATGAGAATACTCATGTGTGAGAATAATGATGTTGAAGAAACCTTCATGTTTGAAGGAATACACTCTGAGTAAATACCAGAGATAGAATTTGTCTGTAATAACCATTAGTCATTTTTATAAAGACAAATTTGCTTCTAATTTGTTCAGGTGTAATAAATAGAAGTACAAAGTGCTGTATAATTATACCCCCGCACAACAAAGTTGTAAGGGGGGTATACTGGAATCAGCTTGTCCGTCCGTCCGGCTGTCCGTCCGTCCGGCCGTCCGTCCGTCCGTCCGTCGGTTTTTTCTTGTCCCCCCAATAACTTAAGATTCCTTTGACCCTTAGTCTTCATATTTGGCATGGAGGTTAGTCATGATTAGTAGATGACCCCTATTGATTTTGAGGTCACCAAGTCAAAGGTCAAGGTCACAGAGGCCTTGACTTCAAAAAGCTTGTCCGCCCAATAACTTAAGATTCCTTTGACCTACAGTCGTCATATTTGGCATGGAGGTTAGTCATGATTAGTAGATGACCCCTAATGATTTTGAGGTCACTAGGTCAAAGGTCAAGGTCACAGGGGCCTTGACTTCAAAAAGCTTGTCCGTCCAATAACTTAAGATTCCTTTGACCCACAGTCTTCATATTTGGCATGGAGATTAATCATGATTAGTAGATGACCCCTATTGATTTTGAGGTCACCAGGTCAAAGGTCAAGGTCACAGGGGCCTTGACTTCAAAAAGCTTGTCCGCCCAATAACTTAAGATTCCTTTGACCCTTAGTCTTCATATTTGGCATTGAGGTTAGTCATGATTAGTAGATGACCCCTATTGATTTTAAGGTCACCAGGTCAAAAGTCAAGATCACAGGGGCCTTGACTTCAAAAAGCTTGTCCGCCCTATAACTTAAGATTCCTTTGACCCACAGTCTTCATATTTGGCATGGAGACAAGTCATGATTAGTAGATGACCCCTATTGTTTTTGAGTTCACCAGGTCAAAGGTCAAGGTCACAGAGGCCTTGACTTCAAAAAGCTTGTCCGCCCAATAACTTAAGATTCCTTTGACCCACAGTCTTCATATTTGGAATGGAGGTTAGTCATGATTAGTAGATGACCCCTATTGATTTTGAAGTCACCAGGTCAAAGGTCATGGTCACAGGGGCTTTGACTTCAAATAGTTTATCTGCCCAATTACTTTAGATTCCTTTGACCCACAGTCTTCATATTTGGCATGGATGTTGATCATGATTTGTAGATGACCCCTTTTGATTTTGAGGTCACTGGATCTAAGGTCAAGGTCATAGGGACTTTGACTTCAAAAAGTTTGTCCACCCATTAACTTAAGATTCCTTTGACCCACAGTCTTCATATTTGGCATGGATGTTGATCATGACTATAAGGTGTCCCCTATTGATTTTGAGGTCACTGGGTCAAAGGTCAAGGTCACAGGGACCTTGACAAAAAAAGCTTTTATTCTCAATTGCTAAAGAATGTCCTGTCCGCAATGTATTGATTTTGACATTTTCACATTTGAAGCATGTAGAATACATAACTTAGCAATGCACTGGCTTAGTAACCTCAGATTTGGCAGGGAGGTTGTCCTTGAGCTCTAAATGGCCACTGTTGATTCTGACAAAGTGGTATGCGGGGGTATTCACGCCATGATAGTGGCAGTTCTAGTTATGATTGGTATTATGAAGTATACAGTAAAACCTTGCTAGAGCAACCACTAGCTGGACTTGGCAACAATTATATAGAAAAACCTTGCTAGTGCAACCACTAGCTGGACTTGGCAACAATTATATAGAAAAACCTTGCTAGTGCAACCACTAGCTGGACTGGGCAACAGTTATTCAGTAAAACCTTGCTAGAGCAACCACTAGCTGGACTTGGCAACAATTATATAGTAAAACCTTGCTATAGCAACCACTAGCTGGACTGGGCAACAATTATATAGTAAAACCTTGTTAGTGCAACCTCTAGCTGGACTGGGCAACAGTTAAATAGTAAAACCTTGTTAGTGCAACCTCTAGCTGGACTTGGCAACAGTTATATAGTAAAATCTTGAAAGAACATCCATTTAATCTGAAACCTTTAAAAAAGAACCACTTAAGCTAGACTGTAAAGGTTTGTTAAGACAACATCCATGCAGTAGCACCACAACTCTATATCCACTTTTCTTAAACAAGCATTAGACAGTACAATTTTTAAACAACAACTTTACAAAAATTTTATTATTATGACATTCACAGTAACAGTCATAATGAAAATCTATGTTAGGACAGCCACCATACAGTGAAATCATGTTTAAACATGTACCATACAGTAACAATCCATTAAAATGGCCATGATATAAACCAGCACAGTAAAGCATGTTTTTGGCATTTTTACAATACAGACTTAACCCATCCAAACATCCGTTTGAAATTGTATTAATGAATATGAAACATTGTAAAATAAATTCAATTCAAATATTATGGTTAACACAAATGTTATGTCCATGTTTTTGTGTAAATGCAAATGTTATTCTCATATTATCATGTATATGCAACTTTTATGCCAAAATTATTGTGTATTTGCAAATTTTATGCCCAAAATATTATGATTTAAAAATTAATATGCAAATTTAATGCCAATATTAATGTGTATGTAAATTTTTATGTCTATATTTTGTACACAGTACATACATGCAGAACACACATATAAGATGCATATATTATGTTTTTTCAGTGTATAAAATAGAGGGTGAAGACTTTGATGATGAAGAGTTTGAAAAGGAGTGGGAGAGAAAATATGGAACAAAAGGTTTGTTTACAGCTTGTAATTCTGATGCCTTAAGAAAAAAAATACAGTTAACCCCGTTTTTTCTGACATTTCTAAATTGGTAATTACTTGTTAGTTATCCAGGAAAGCCTGTGTGGTTGACTGACTGATGAGACTTGTCAAAAAAAAAATGTATTAAAATTGTCATAAATACCGGAAAACCATACCAAACAAAATTTTAATATACAATGTATTTATTACTATGTAGGACAAAAAACAAAGAAGAAATCTGTATGAAAAAATAGTATCTATTCTGTCTCATACATTTTTTAAATCACATTTAAGGATATTGAATTTAATGAGACCTGAAAATGAAAACTTGTTAACAGAAATCAAAATATTTTTCTGGCATTTTCATCCAATGGATGCCATGCTTTGAACTAATTAAGATAATGAAGATTGAAAAGTGGTTAATGTTGCTGAATTTGGTGCACTTGTCCTAAACTACTGTGAGTTTGAATCCCGCCAGGGACTCTGATTTGGTCTTTTCATTTTTCCTTTTAACCTTTTCAGCTAGCTTAACAAAGGTTGGTCGGGTTCTACTCTGCTGCCCTCTGTTGCCTGTAATAATGCACAGAGGGTTACTGGTATCTTAAAGACACATAATAATATATGCTTCAGAAACAAATAAATTTTTACTATAGCGCAAAATTATGATGTTTAGGAATGGTAAAATAATGGTTTTAGAGCATGTTAAATGCTTGTAACCTGAAGAAAGTAGGGCTTAAAGTGAAATAAATTGTCATTAAAGAAGCAAAATGGGCCTTTAAGTCTTACTCCATCACTGAAGCTATAAAGTTGCCATATGACCTTCACTATGTAAGTGTGTCTTAAAACAAAACATTTAAACTGTACATACAAGTCATGTTTTTAATTTATGACAACTAATATTTGTTAAGAAAAATTACATTATCTCATGTGAAAAAGAACTTTTCTAATAGAAATATAGAACAAATCTTGCGACATTTTTAAAACAGGGTTAACTGTATTTAGCCAAATCTAAGCATAAGCTGTCTCCTTAATGTAATTATGTCCTTCTTTGCCATTTCCTCCTATTTCATTTTATTATATATCACATTTTGATTTGAATTCTTTTACATAAATTGTTTTAGAATAATGGATATGTAATGACAGAACATTTTGTTTCAAATCTATACAGGTAAATAAGATACATTGTACATTTGTTTGGTCATAATGAACAAAACAGAATTTTGTTGGCAGACTGTTTAATGCGTCAGACTAGTAATCTAAGTATTGCTGGCCATGTAGATTCAAACCCTGTTAGGAGCGAGTCGTTGTTTCCTAGAGCATGAAACTTTTTACATTCATTGCTTAGTACTGGTTGGTTCCAGGAACGGATTCAAAAAGGTCTCAATAAGCTTAAAGCTTCCAACACAGTTACACAAAAAAAATTGTATGAATCTTAAACAATATTAACAGAATTTTGTATGCAGCTAATCTTTACAATATTCTAATAGATGAATTTGATTTTCTTTATAAGTATTAAAGGCATTTCCTAGATTAGTGCCTTTTCTTTACAAAGGCAGTAGATGAAAAATTTGAATTTATTAAGAGCTGAAAATTTTCATAAGGAAAATAATGAATTAAGATCCTCATGATTAGCTGATCTCTCTAAAAATTTCAAATTGTATGTTATAAGGCTTTTGAACATCTGAGTTGAGTTCCTTAAAAGAATGAGGAACCTAAACACAAATACATTAAAATAAAACACTGTCATTACAAATCTTATTTTATTTTATTTTATGAAAACCACCTTTTATTCAACTATTATGTATAAATAAACCAGTATGACCTTTTTTTTATTTTTTTTTTCCTGTTATAATTTAAACATGTATAAATTATTTTTTTCATAGCTACATGTACATGTATTACCCAAAGTTTTCCACAATATCAACAAATTTTATGTTTTTCTGAGTCTTATTTGTTTGTTTTCGACCATGTGTTATACTGTATACAATGTTTGACCTTTTTTTGTGTTTGTGACCTCTTTGTTTTGCATAAATGTTAATTTTTAGATATTGAGAAACTCCTACAAGAAGGTAATTTCAAGAATAGAAGTGTTTTGTTTTACATGAATTAAATAGAAACAGTAATGTCCAAAGGAATTTCATGACCTTTAATATCTTTCAATGATGAATAAATAATAATATATTGCTCTTCAAAAAGTATTATTTATTTTTAAATCTGTTCTATGCCTATGCAGGTAATGCTTTTTAAAAAATAACTAGTACCCTAAATGGTTTAATATTGAGCATATCTAAAACAATGCTATGTAACTTGGCCCTGGAATTTTGAAAAGGATATCTAACATACAGTAAATGCTAAACTTAGCATTCCTAATCAAAAACTTCAAGTTAACCAATCAATATATAAAAGTACTTTTTCAGTTGAATTTTATACAAATATTTATGAAATAAAATATTACATATTTTACATTGAATTTCTTGTGTTTGTAAATAGAATAATTTAAGTGAATAAAGATAAATATGGCAAAAAAACCCTTGGACATTACTGTTTTACTAAGCATATATTGTAATGTGTTGTAAATTGTTTTACTAGCTTTTGCTCTTCAGCCTCGGCAATAGACTACTAAATTCATCTGATCTTCAGTCTTGGCAATAGACTACTAAATTCATCTGATCTTCAGTCTTGGCAATAGACTACTAAATTCATAATTTTGTCAGTCTTGGCAATAGACTACTAAATTCATCTGATATTCAGACTTGGCAGTTGACATCTTAATTCATCAACACTTCAGTCTTTGCAATATATCACTAAATTCATCTGCAGTCTTGGCAAGAGACTACTAAATTCATCTGCACTTCAGTTGCAACAGTAGACTACTAAATTCATCATTTCAACAGAAAGACTAATGAATTCATCATTTTACCATTCCACTAATGAAAAACATTCCACCAATCAGGGGATAGATTTTATTTTTGTCACTCATCAGGATAGTCATAAACGTAAAAGGACATCATCAAAACTAATTATATTAATAGAATAATTAGATCATTATCTGATACTGTAATAATATTAGAATTGTAATATCTTTATTTCCTTTATTTCCATAGAAATGAAATAAAAAAATTGTAGAGAATTAAAAAAATAATACAAAAATATATTTTTTCACTTATATGGTTATAATTTCAAGTGTGTGTAGTAAATTATTTACTCTACTAACTAACTGTTGACAATAGTTTTAAAAGTTTCAATATTTAAATGACAGTGCTGATGATAACATTACATCTATTTATTAATACTTTAAATCAAAACTGTCAGGAGTTATCTTATCTTGATTATGAAATGGATCTTATCTCATAGTCAAAGTCACCCACAATAGTTGCAAACAATTACTTTAGAATTTTAAGGCCAATATGGCTGAATTTTTAAGGTAGCCTGGTTCAAAGCACCTTCTCCTCATAGCTGTCAGTTCGGACCCCTTCAATGTCTTTTGATTCTTTCATGTGTGTCCAGATAAGTTACAGAAAGTAGGTGGTCTAACTCAGTGTGTCTAAATTTATGCACAAAGACGTCTTTCTCCACCAGTAAAGTTAGGAAGTTGCCATGCAACTTTACAGTGCTGATGTGACTTGAGACCTAACAAAACTTGATTAACTACCATCAATATAGAGCCATACAGTCCTCTCTTGAGTGTAGTATGACTTAAATCTTAACTGCCTTAGTCATCGATTGTTATATAACTAAAGGTATCTCTTTCCTGGTACATGTAATAGTTATGTTTTTGTTTTTTTCTTTGTTGTAAAACATGTATGTCAATGTAAATTGATGTGTGTATGAATTAATAAATAACTGTCAATGCAAAATAAAGCTGATATTGATTTACAATATCAATGATTAGATTAATCTTTTATCCTGTGATTTACTGCAGAAATATTAAGACCCACAACATTTTTCTTTAAAACATAGTCAGGGGAGAGAAGACTGAATGTAAATTAAGAGCAAGTTACCAAGAGTTTGCCCCCTTTGAAGAGTTAAGCTGAAGTTTTTGCTATGATTGTCTGCAGTTGCTGTGTTTTTTTTTTACTATAAGAAATTACCTTTAAAGGGATTGACATTTATACAGGTTAGGTTAAATTATGGAGTTACAATGAGTACTTTTAGATTTACCTTTCATGCAGATGTTAAAAGTTTCCTGTGCAAAAATTCATTACAATACTTTTTTGTAAGTGAATAACTTGACTGTTGAGTGATTTTTTTTCTTGCATATTATAACAGTAAATTTCATGCATCTTTATATTGTAAAGTTTAGATGAATAATTAATGTAACTTCAGGAACATTTTAAAAAAATGGAAGAAATATTTTGCTTTTGCATCGGAAGCTATTTTTGTGACATTTGCAGTGTTGTTTTAATTGTTGTGTTTTTCTATATAAAAAAAGAAAAAAGTGTACAATTTATAATTAACACAAAGATCTAAAAAAGTCGTTTTTTTTTCTCTCGTATGAATGTCTTTATTTGTTACTCCTCAGTTGAAAGTCAAAAATAGTTTGTGTTTTTAAAGTTGTAGATTTATTTCAAACAATAAGAATTAAATGTTTGTTTTGTTTTTTCATAGATCATTTTTTAATGTTACCAATAACTGAAAAACTTCTTATATCAGTTTTCTTGACATGATTTTCATTGTTATTATTCTTTTACGATTTACAGTGCCGCCAAAGTTACCAATTGACACTCCGCGGATTATGACTCAGACCAGTGACTCCATTTGGTTCACATGGTTGCCGGCCAGAATACCGGCGTATGCCACACAGACCAACATCAGCTATGTCGTTGAAATCAAGGTACTACCAGAGTTTATTTTGTGTTCTAGAGTCAAAGAGCTAATGCACTTGTCAATTACATGTATGACCACCGCCCTCCAAACCTGAGTAAGTGTTGACAATATAGGGGTAAATGAGTAAAATTTTTTTTCCTCTGAAATTTTTTCAGGAACCTCCTTCAACAGCTTGGCAACGTGATGCGGCAGACCTAGTGGACTGCCAGTATGTAAAAGAGGGTTTGAACCCCAACCAGGAGTACCACATCAGAGTCCGAGCAGAGACCGAGTTTGGACCAAGTGATGCAACCATGCCTATCATCATTAGAGGCAAAGGTCAGAAACAAAACAAAATATTATCTTAATAAATGATTTCAAAAGAAGAAGCCAATTCTTTCTATAAAAGAAATTCTTTTGAATTTTCTACACAATCCTCTAGATAGTACTTATAATGGTGAAGTTTTAGCATGCACATTAATATTTCCAATACTCTTGAAGGGAATAGCTTGAAACTTCACAAACTTATTTGAGAGCACAATCTAATGTCACTGTCTAAGACCCATTATTGTTAATATTATTACACTATTTCCATTTTAAAGTAGTTTTTTTTAGCACTGTCTACTTTGAACATAAATCTATATAATTTTGTTGACTTCTTAGTGATGATATTATTTGAACTGTCCATATTATTTGTATAGCTGATAAGCCATGTTTACAATTTGAACAGTACTGTTCATTTAAAACAATTACAAATGAACTTGTTTCATGCTATTTTTAGATTTGATAATGAAATGTTTTTCTTTACATTAATCATATTTGTAAAAATTCTATTTTTATATTTTCATGACCTCAGGGTCAAGGTCAGGGTCAAGAAGGTCAAGTGTAGAAAGAGAAGAAAGGGGTTTAGAGGACAAAATAGATCTGTCATATCTTGACAATGTGATGGCAGGAGGTAAATGTATTTTTTTTGTTACCTTTGACCTTGAGCATGCAAGGTCAAAGGTAATTTTCTATAACATATCTACAGACAGCTGATTTTTTAGCTTTAGTAAAGATTTTTATGAAAGTGTGAAATTATGCTCATTAACATCAACAAATTTTATCTTAGGATGATTAAATCTTAGAAGCACTTATCATCACCTTAGTGCAATAACTGGTTAACTCGTATTGAATTAAAACAGACTTAACCCGTTAATGCACTAAGGTGACATGATATCTATAACTTATGTATGATGCAGCATATGACAAAAGGGAGAGAAAAAACATGTTTAAAGAGGAAGTGGGCTTGACCTTTACTGCAGATTGTAAAAAAGTCATATCTAATGTCATTACTAAGGTCATAGTCTTCACATGAAGTAGGTATGGCCTTAATTAAAGATTTTTCATTTTCTGTTAATAATATCAAATATTAAAACTACATGTTGTCAGACTATTCTTGTAAGAAAAAAATAAAAAATGTATGATTTTTTTTTTAAGTGCCACCAAGGATGGCCTCTTCCAGACCTCTGAGCTCCAGTGTTGGTCCTGACAAACTTACCCTTACCTGGAGTCCCTGCAGAACACCATCATATGTCAAAGGTTTGAATCTTTTATTTTTTACTTCCAGTTCAGCATACATTAATAAGATATATCTTTGATAACTATTGATAAGATCTCCCTATGGTAAAATCAGAAAATTTTGCAAATGATTAAATTTTCTAATTTTGTGAATTGAAGGTGATTTTTTAAGGTAATACATTGTTGTTAAGTATCTTCCAGTATGAATATAAAATAACTGGAAATAGAAAATTGTAAATTTGTAAATTATAAACCTGGCCAATGAATCCGAAATGTTGAATTCTTGAAATTTTGGCGTCACAAAAATATCTGATCATACAGTATGCAAGGTGAGCAGGGTCATCTATGTAACATACTCTGCTTTGGTTTCCTTTGTATAAATATGTTTTCATTTTGGTGATTTAAATAGTATTATGAAAAAAAAAATTGTACAAAGATTTAATATATTGTATACTTAATAAGGTAAAGTAATTAAGAATGGTAAGTAAGTACCGGTAAACAATAAAACACCAACCATGTTAATACAGAATATTTAATTAATTAGTATATATTTCATTCTCAAATATTAAATGTTTATGCTTGAAAATTTACTTACACATTGTCACAATTTCAGCGTCCAGTGTGATTTACATCATTGAGAAGCGCGAGCCTCCAGGGCATGTCTGGACAGTTCTTGCCAAAGACATCACAGGACACAAGTTTGAGATCACTGGTTTGAACCCTGAACAAGATTACATGTTTAGAGTCAGGGCGAGGAACGAGTTTGGACTGAGTGACCCCACACTTCCTATGACACTCTTTAGAGATAGAGGTAAAAAAAAACACTTTTGATTGTCAGTTTGTAAATAGATCCATGCAGAAATTACCAGGTCTAGACAGATTATATACAATCTTGACTCATTTGATGTGGAGATTTTTGTAAGGTCTATTTTCATAGAGATATCATGATTATATCATAAACAACATGGCTGCTTCAAGTTGTTTTGTTTTTTGGGGTTTTTTTTTCCATCTGTTTCTCGCAATTTTTATTGTTTGAACATACAAAGATAGCCCTTAATATTAAGTTAAATGTGTGCCATAGGGTTGTCCATGGGCATATGGTCAAAAAAATTATGGAAATTTAAAAACCCTTTCCCCTTTACTAAAATTGTGGGTATTTTCCCCCCCAAGTTCCTTTGAATTCCTTTCCCCTGTGGGGTGGGAAACCCCCAGCTAGCTTACGCAAAAATCAGTGATTTCCCAAATCGGGGGGCTCAATTGTGGCCTTTAAAAAATGCACGGGGAAAGGGCCCCCTGAAAGGGCTTCCCCCTACCAAAAAGCCCGGAAAATCGGCATAAAAATGTATAAACCTTGTAATTTTGGGGTTTGTGCAAAAATTTAAAAAATTTAAAAACCAAAAAAAAAATAGTTGGGGTCATGTAAAAGGAAAAAAAATTAATGATTAAAAATATTTTATCATATTGGCTGAAAAAAATTGTTTTTTTTCCCAGACGACTATGTACCTCCAAGGATAAGGAGTCGGTCCGGCTCCAGGGACAGTATCTCAATGCTGGTATCCAAGGTGATGAGGAGAAGTGCTTCTATTGATTACAATATCCAACCAATGGAAGACGACAGAAGCTCGCAGGAAAGAATACGTAAGATGTTTACCATTGTACAAAAGTTAAAGAATTAAGTAGACTGTAAATTAATTCATTTTGCAACTGATTATTTTTTGTTGTGAAACTAGGACCTTGAAAATTTCTCAAATTCATGGTGAAAATAAGTAGACATAGTTTCAAGTGAGACTACAAAGATGTGCCATGGCATAGACAAATCATGATCTTTTTAGACAAGTGGCCTATATTTGGAGGTTACTTTATTCCATTTGTCTATGAAGGTTTATAAAAAAGTGGCCTTTATTTGCAGGGTTATCTTAATTCAAAAAGGTGGTTCTTTAAACACAGGTTTTTACCTTTAAATTTTGGTTTAATTTGGTTTTTGGGAAAAAAGCTCACTTTCCCCATAGGTTGAAAAGGGGAGAAAGCTTTCAATTTTGGTATTCTTAGAATCCCTAAATTTGAAGTCCATGTTTTGGGTTCACAATTTCCCCCCAAGTGAAAATAAATTTGGGAAAAACAAAACAACCTTTAAAAAAAATTTTGGGTTTAAGAAACATTTAACCAAAATTTTTAACACAAAGTTTAAATTTTTAATTTGACTTACCCCCCGGAATTAAGGGGGATTTTTGGGGGTTTTTTCCCGGGTTTTAATTTAAAGGGTTTTAAAAAAAAAAACTTTTACAGTTTACAGGGCTTTTAAATTAAAAACAAAATTGTTAATTTTTTTTGTGACCCCATTTGTGCACCTTGAAGTTTTTAAAGGTAAAAAGTTTGTTTGGACCGGTGATAAGCATGGGAAAAACCCACATTTGCTGAGCTCCAGATAACATCTGTTGTCCTGATTTAGTATTTAAACTCAACCTACACATATTAAATAGATGATAATAAAATCATGAAATTAATCATGAAGACCTTGGTAGTAAAAAAGTTAAAATAAGAGATGTTTTGGGTTCGAGATTATTTTGTTTTAGAGATTACTTTGTTTAAGAGATTAATTTTTTCTTTAATCTTCAGCATGTCAACCTCAGTATATAACAACGACCTTTGACACTCAGTATGGTGTGCTCGGTAAGAAGGGAAAAATACAACTCGAGGTTCGAGGCTACCCTCTTCCCACGGTGCATTGGTACAAAGGCGAGGAGAAAATTGAATATGGTGGTCAGTTTAACGCTTTCGTTACCCCATCCGGTAAGTTGACCTACTTTATTTTTTCAATCTTCAAAAGAAAAAAAAATATTTAAAAAATGAAAAAAAAGAATAAAATTACATTTCCAGATCTTATTACTTACAATTTGACTTTAAATTTGAATTTTGCTATATAAAACTTGTGTTTCAGAAATTTTATAAATGTGAAAAAGAACATCTTTATATTTTCCATCAAATCAAACATCTTTGATGTTTTTTAAAGGGGAATAACTTAAAACTATAAAAAATTTTTTAAGTATTTTCAGGGGAAATTAAACAAAAATTTTAAAGGGATTAATTTTATTTTTATGGGGGTTTGGGGGGGGGACTTTTTTTCCTGGTTTTTTGGGGAAATTAACCTATTCCCAACTAGTAAACTATTTCTGTTTTAGGGGGAAATAACTCTTGAAAATCAAGAAATTTTTGGGGGCTGGACAAATGTAGGAAACCTTTAATGTTATGCCCGAAAATGGGAAATGGGCTGGGTGGGCAAAAGATCACTTTTTGAATTTTGAGGTAGATTGAAACCCGCGTCACGAAAAAAAAACCAAAAAACACGCCGGGAGTTTTGATCAGGATCCCATGGGGTTTCGCTTTTCAAACCCTAGTACCCAAAAGAAGAAATTTATAGGGGAAAGCCCCGGGATCCCGGTCAGAAAGCAAGGATGCGCAGGCTCAATTATGAGGGTTGAGGAAAAAATTAAACGGACTTGATAGATGATTCAAAAGAATACACAGAATATAAATTAGAATCTATCCCTGCATGAACCAAAAAAAAAAAACCCCAAAACACATAAACAAATGTAAATAGCACATTTTGATAAGTTAGGATAAAGACATCATATAATTTTTTTATGGAACATACCAGTATGGTTACATATTACATATATTATATAACTTAGGTAAAGAACTATTGATTCTGAAAGGCAAAATTCTAAATTAATCAATTATTATTTATATTTCCTTCAACTAAATATTGTAAAGTCCTACTGAAAATAGATATATTTAGTAAATTATACACTATGAGTAACATAAACATTATACATTTTTTTTTGCATATCACTTTGAAAATCAAGACATTCCCTGACACAAATAAAATCATTGAATATAAATAGTTTGCATATCCTTTGATTTGTGCTTAAAAATCATTGGGAAAAAAATTTTTTTATTTTTTAAAGAACCACCAAAATGTCCTTGAAAAACCATCAAAAGGGTGTCAGCTTACCCAAAAGGAGAAACCCGCCAAACTATTGTGGGGAGGAAGTCGAACGGTTTCCCCAGCCCCAAACAGTGAAATGGAAAAGGGAAAAACTTTGGGGCCCCCTAGCGGGCTGGCACACAACCAAAAAAATGGTTTTAAAGTACCTCCCCGGGGACGCTTTAAAGGCCCCAAAAAGGGAAATTAAAAAACGAAACGAAAGGGGGGAAAGATTTGGGCTAATTTTCGCGTGTACGGTAGAGAATATGGCCGGGGAAAATCACGGTGACCGGCCAGGGCCAAAAAAGTGGAAAAAAGGTCAAATTTATAAATTTTTTTTATTTGGTTTTAAACCCTTTAAAACCAAAAAATTTGTGTTTAAATTTTTTTAAACAAAACATATTTTGGGTTTTAACATAATTATTCCTTAAAACGATTTGCGAAAAAAAATTTTTTGCAACTTTTTATTAAAACCCCCTTTTTGGAAATTTGGGGTTCCCGGGCCAAACCCGTACTTGTTTTTAAAGAAAAAAAATGGTCCCTTGCCCGACTTTTGCTAGATGCCATTAAAGGTTTTAATTTCATCCCAATTTTTTTAATTTTTATTTTTTAATAAATTTTTTCTCAAAAGATTGGTTAAATTTATTTGGGAAAAAGGGCAATTTAGTTCCCTTTTTAAAAAAGGACTCTTTTGATTGCTTCCCTATTTTACAGAGATTGAAAAAGGTCAAAATATTTTTTTTTTCAGAATTGTTTTATTAATTCATCATTGTGAATTCTCGATACATGTGTAGACAAAATTTTAATTAAATGGATATATTTTTCAAAAAGAAACTTAACTGATGCTTGATTGTGAAAATTTGGAAAAGTTACCTAAGGAACAATTGAAACAATTGAATTATACATCTACATTTGTATTTTGTAATTTATCACATTTGAAGAGTACGAACTTTTGCATCAGATATTTTTTTTGCAATTTTTAGATTCTTTCCCTGAGTCTGAAATTAACATCAGATCAACTCCTATAGATGAGCATTACCATGTCCTTGAGGAGATTGGCAGGTAAATTTCACCTTTTGACTTTGTGGGCATAAAAATATTTTGTGTTATAGATTATAAATGTTTTCTATGATTATTGGTGCTGTAAACTCAACTTATAATGATATACCACTTATAAAGATATACTACTTATAAAGATATACAACTTATAAAGATATACATCTTATAAAGATATACAACTTATAAAGATATACAACTTATAAAGATATACAACTTAAAAAGATATACCACTTATAAAGATATACCGCTTATAATGATGCTGCAGTCCAGACTCTTGTTTTCAAACTTGTTGCCTCTCGGATATTATATGACGATATCAGGATATAACAATGTAAATTTGGTGGTCCCCTGAATATCAATATGAGCAGAGTTTACTGTATATATATTACTTAAAAGAACAAAGAATTTTTGCAAGCTATTGTGATCATTCTGTATTTGAAAACTTTTGTTGGCTAAAAATCAAAAATAGAATTAAGTATTTAAAACCTAACTTAATGGTTTTTTAAGAGAATGACCCTTTCTTACAAAAATGGGTAAGCATTCCACAAAAAGTTGTTTAAGTTTTTTGTTTTTTGATTGGTGGGCTAGAATTGGGAAAAAAACCAAAACACAGAATTAAAAAGTTTAAAAAGAAAAAATTTTGATTCTAAAAATATATTATTTTTGCAAATAACCCGGGGGGGAATATGGGAGTTGTGCGAAGGTTGATTGAGTTCAAAATTTGGAAGAACTAACGGGTGCCCCAACCCTTTAATGGTCCATGAAAAGGGGGGAAAAGCTCCCGAAAAACTTTCAGAAAAGAAGGGTTTTTTAAATGCCTTTGCTCTCCAAAATGGGGGGGGGGGTCTTGGGAAACTTTTTATGATGGGCCCCCCCCTTTGAAACCCCCGGGGAGGGGGCCCCTTTAAAACTTTTTGTCACCTGAAAATGTATCCTTTTATGATGTAATTTTTATGCTGCCATTTTTATCGATGGACTTTGGGCATGTTTTTTCTGTCTATCTCTAGATGTGGAATATAATATTAATTTTTGTGGAAAAATCTTTAGTAACATGATTGTCATGTCCCCATTTTGATGGATGGATTTTGGGTAAACTGTTTTTCTGTCTGCATGTTTGTCCTTGGAATACGTTGACCTTTACGAGAATATCTTAATGTAGATTAAAATTACATGCTTCCAGATGACATGGATGAGTCAAAATATTTCAAAAAAATCAAACTTGAGAAAAATGATTTTAAGAAAAGAGAAAAGTAATAATTTGTATGTTACGTTTCTATCACCACGTTACAATTGTGTGATGCAGTAAGGTCTGATATTTTGCATATTTTGACCTCATTTTGGTTCTTTACATGGATTATTAGTGTTTGCAGTGTGTAAATTACTTTCTTTGTTCACTTCACAGTATTTTACTTTCAAATGTGAAATATGTCCATTATGTAACAAAAGCATAATTTCAGACATAGACACTTGCTTTGATACATGTAATGGGTGAATGTTGATAATTTCAAGACATTTAGAAATAAGTCGAAATTATTGATTTATTTTTTCCAAATGTGTACCCATTATTGAACAACAGATTTTTTTTTCATTCATCAACATCTTTTCTATTGATGACAGCTCATAAAGTAAAGCATTATTAAAATATTTAATTGTTTGGCCCTTAACCATTATAAAGCTTGTCTGAGCCCGAGTTACTGGAGAAAATCATTACAGACGGATCCTGGACAGAGGCTAGGGTAGCGGCTATCATCAGGAAACTATTGGGTATTTCTTAAGGGGGCTTTGCAACTTTAACATTCTAACATTTTGGAAAATTTAAAAAATTTAAGGGGTATAACATGTAAATATAAGAAACCCTTGGGTTAATTAAATTTAAAAAAAAAAAAGTAAAAAATTTCAAGGGCATCCCATGGCAGAAATGGTTTCAGTCTTGGACTTAAACCCCACCTTTTTCCCAAACCTTAAATTTAAACCGGGGGGGGTTCGAAATTCCGGGCAGGGAATTTTTGACAAAAAACATGAAAAAACCTTTTACCTTTAAATCCTTTCCCCCTAGGGCCCCAAATTTCATTGTTTGCCCTGTATGAAACTCTACCTTTAAGGCCACAGGGTCAAAGGGGCAAGGTTTAGCACTGCGGGAAACATGGTGTTGGGTTTCCCAAATAAACAAATTTTTTTAAAATTGAAATTAAATTTAATTCTGACAGGCTTTGGAAAAGGTTTTATGATTATCTTTATGTGATTTTTTTATGACTATAGTTACAACTTTGTTTTGACCTTGAATGACCTTCAAGGTCGGATTTTTTAAAATTCCTATAGGAGGGGTAGATCTACTTTATGTTTTATGAACACATCTTGTTTTTGTTGTAACCCACTTATCTTTTGTTTTAGCCCAGCAACATAAGGATGACGGGAGCAGACCTAGATGATATCAAGTTGCTTGGTTTCGGACTGTCCCGCGTTCTTCAACCGGAGGAAGATATAATGCATAACTACGGCAGCGTGGGATACGCCTCTCCAGAGCAAGTGACCAATGAAACGCTCAAACCCAACACCGATATGTGGTCTGTTGGAGTTCTCTCCTACTTACTGTAAGTTCTAAGTTTTTATTTTTTTAGAACAATTCTTCAACTTAGTGCAATAACTGGTTAACTCCTATTATTAGCAGGACTTAACCCTTTATTGCACTAAGTTGACTAAATTTGTTATATATCAGTTTGTATCCACTGTTACAGAGTTTTTTTTAATGTTAATGCCTTTTTCCATTTATACTGAACCCCTTTTTGGACCCAATCATAGTGCTTAAAATTGAATGAGAAGATTGCTTTGTGAATGCCTCAACCAGAATTTGCACCAATGTAGAAGAAACAGATCTCGTATCTAGTGGGGTCAAGGTTATTGACCTGGTTCAGGGAATCTCAATTCTGGTAGAACTTGGGACCTCATGTTTACAATTCCAATGCTTTACCTTTGTTCTTAAATGACATTTTATATATATATATAAAACATGTATTTAAATTCATGTCTTGTTTCAGCTAAACATTTACCTAGGAGCGAGGTTTTCCTATCTTTGATGGCAACCAGTTTGATTTTTTTTCAATCTCATTATATATACTCATTATATATATTTATCACACACCCGTGCCGATTTTGTGACTCTGTAAATATGGTATTGCACGGCCGTGCATATATTTTGACATGACGTCATTAGCGTTATACAAACATAGTGTAAAGACGCGCTAAATGTTAGCGTTATACTATAGGCGCGTCAATGAAAAATGACTCTTATTTCACTTTAAACGGTCTTTATTTTTGGTATGTGATAAGAGGCTCGCATAATATAATTTTATTCAACTTGTGCAATAAATTTAGTATTGAACTTACACTCATTCAATATCCTCTATATATCATGATCATGGCTTTGAAAGGAATAACAAAAAAGATACTTTTTACTGGCACTGTTTCCACATTGTAGCTTGTAAAATAATAAAAAACACCTTCATTCATAGCAAAAGTACACACATATCTCATAGTCATAAAGCTGTCATAATGATGTCATTTAAAGCCTGTTACTCATCTTACACCAGGTATAAAGATTACATTTTTCTGTTAGAAACTCAAGACTGATATATAAAGTATTGAATGGAATTAAATAACACTTTTATGTATATATGTTTTTATTTTCACAGACTGTCGGGTAACGGACCATTCACAGGTAGCAGTGAGATTGAGATTCTAAAATACATGGCAGAGAGTAGCTGGACATTTGAGGGGCGGGGTTTCGAAAAATTCTCCAAGGAAGGACTTGACTTCATCAGCAAACTGCTTGTTAAAGATCCAAGGTTTGTATATATTTAACTTGGATGTCAGAAGTGGTCTTGGTTTGAATGTAATGTCAACATTTTTGAGTCACAAGAGGTCTTGGCTTGAATATAATGTCAACATTTTTGAGTCTTATTTCTAAACCATTGTATATAATATGACATGATATGCATTTAAAATTTTGGAATATACTATTGATTGAGGATGAAGCATTCTATTTAATAAGAGGTTATTAAAATTTAAAATGTCATAAGTGTTTGTATAAGTGACTTTTATTAGGAAAAATATGCCTCAGTGTTTTTTTAAGAATATGAAGTTTTAAGTCTGTTTTGTGTGTCCGTGGTCAAGTGGTTACCGTCTCTGACTTGGAGCTACTTGCCTTCCACTGCTGTGGGTTCAAGTGCCACCAGGGGATGAGCTATCTAGCTCGCTTAGAAGGTCGGTGGTTCTACTCAGGTGCCGTCTTGTGCCTTAGATAATTGACAGAAGGGGCACCTGAGGTCTTTCACCACAAAAAATACCAGAAAGTGGCCATATTACCTTCAAAGATCCTGTGTGTTGTGATCAAAGTGGTAAACCACACTAAGTGAAATTATTATGTACATAATAATGCAAAATAAAACAATTTACAAACATCAAAGAATATGGAAAATATGTACTGCAAATATTTGTGCATATTTTATGTAATCATCAAAATATATGCATTCATTTCTTATTGTAAAATTTGAGTTAAACTTTTTAGAAAATAATTTTTATATTACCACCCTTTATTTACATGAATTGTTAAATTCAGTAATATCTTTATAAATAATGCTTTTGGAACCTACAATATTGATAAATCTTAATTTGAGCATCATATTTATGATTTAAAACCATAAAAAATTGTGTTACAGGATCTTTAACTGTGTTGACGTGACTTTAAAAAATTTATATCTGTATGTCTGTTTTAGAGATAAAATTTGTTTTATGTCTGTTTTACAGATAGCATTTGTTTTATGTCTGTTTTACAGATAGCATTTGTTTTATGTCTGTTTTACAGATAGCATTTGTTTTATGTCTGTTTTACGGATAGCATTAATTTTGTTTTATTTCTGTTTTTACAGATAGCATTTGTTTTATGTCTGTTTTACAGATAGCAATTTTTTTATGTCTGTTTTACAGATAGCATTTGTTTGATGTCTGTTTTATGGGTAGGCTATTTTGTTTGTTTTACAGTTAATGTATAATTATGTCTGATTTTACAGTAAGCGTATGACAATAGGAGAGTGTATGAGTCATCCATGGTTGTCTACAAAGAGCGACACAAAAATCAACACGGAACAGCTGAAACAGTTCTATAATGCTGAAAAACTTCAGGTATGGAAAAAAGGATTTCTTTCATTTTTGTACCATCAACTGATGTATATTTGTGATAATAAATAATAAGCAAAATAAGCAATAAGCTGCCTATTTGAATGTGATCTATGGCTGTTTGATATGCTATACAGGCTAGACACACTTCACAAGAAATACGAGCATATTGCATCACTTTCGGGCAGGTGCAACAAGATTATAGAAGTGTTAACAAAATCTGCGAATTGAAAAACATCGCGAATTAAGAGACATCAAAGATATAGAATTCATTGATTATGTAACCAAAGTAATTCTGCTTTTAAAGCTCCCTGCTTCCAGATATATTACCAAATAACCAAGTTGAATTTATTAAAATAAGAAATATTTAAAAAAAAAGAAAAACACAAACAACAAATTTTTAGCAGTTTTGTAACAGTATAATTAGAACAAAATGCTTTTTTGACCAAAGATTTATTTTCAACTCATAACATTTCATTCATTTTCATCTTCAGACAAGGTTTTAGAACTTGCAGTAAGATAAAGAAACTTTGGGTTGATAGTAAAATTTGGGTTCATTTATATTCTTTTGCATAGTGTTTTTACATAAGATGTATCAAAAAATGTTTATGTATATTTATTAATAGAGACAGACAGAGAAGGTGTTTACAACAGTACAGCTTCAGAGTTTTGCTAAGATTATACACGGAGCCAAGGCATTGTACCAGCCTGCCGTAGATATAGAATCAGGGGAGATAATCTTCCCCGACAGTGATCTTTACGGAGACTATCTTGATGAAGATGCTTGGTATGAATGGCAGCTTCAGGTAAGTTGTCTCCCTTTGTTTTTGTGTCTTTTTATATAATGAAATTAATAGATAGTTTCCTAATTCATAATAATCACGAAAATGAAGGTTCTTGTGTAATCAAAGGCTACCTGGAGCTATGCTTACTCTTTATCCAGAGGCCTCTGTGGCTGACTGGTTAAGGTTGTTGATATCAAATCTTTTGTCCCTCGTCACTGTGGGTTTGAATCTAGCCCAACAAATTGTGGGCTTAAGGGCTTAGATGATGATCGCCCTTCATAAAGACAGACATCTATGAAAAATCAGATTATAAAATCGGTCGGTCTTGCATTCGAAATATTGAGACTAGGTTTGAATCCTGTCAGGGACTTTGAATTCTTTGATATGTGAGGTCTTCCGATGCCATTAAAGCTGAAAAATCTCCATTCGACCGTTAAAATGTCAGTCTGACCTAAAACCCAGTTAACAAATTCTTTTCCCACAATATTATATGGTACGGATCTTCCTGGCTTAGTATATATATTATTCTTTTACTACCTATAGGTGGACCTTGAACTTTTTCTACATCTTTTTACAGTACCTTGATGACCCAGACAGTCAGATTTTCCCGATACAAGATAAGAAGTTTACTGTAAGGGAATGCCGCCATGCTGGTGCACCAAAATATACAAAACCGAAACAAACCGAGAGGTCGGACAAGGATATTTTGGATACTGGTAACGATACCTGTCATAATTGAGATAAAATGTTGTATCTTTACCCCTGCCACATAATGTGGAGAGTGTGTGGGGGCTGTATTGAAATCAATTTGTTGTGTCTGTCAATCGGCCAGTCAGTCCTACAGTCAGTTCGTCTCCATTATGTCTGCTCTATAAACTCTATACTCATTGAACAATTTTCTTCAAACTGGCACTGTGCCGGCTCAAGGTCAAGGTCATCCTTGAAGGTCAAAATTTGAACATTTTGTGTCTACACTATAAATTCTATAGACTCTTTCTTTTATATTATGAAAAATGGTGATAAAATCAAAAGCCCAGAATTACTTTAGTTGTAAATACTACTTAATTTCTATGACGATGTTAATGATGACAAATAATGTTTCTCTTCAAATTCAAATGCAAATTTGTCTGTAATTTTGTTTTTATAAAAGATTTCAATATCAGCATTCAATATTGAAGATAAAACTATGGTAACCCTTAACTTACTGGAACCGAAATTGATTAGCTTCCATCACCTGTCTGGAGCCACGCCAGCCTGAACCTCTGTGCCCTCTTGGCTACAAGCCTAAAAAACAAGGCAAGCCTGAACCTCCCTCCTGGCCACCAGCATGGAACCAGGACAGCCTGAACCTCTGTGCCTTCCTGGCCACTAGCCTGAGCCCTCATACCCTCCTTGCCACCAGCCTGGAACCAGACCAGCCTGAACCTCTGTGCCCTCTGACCAGGATTTAATCTTTGGGTTGCTCAATTTTTGTATATTGGTATTGAACTCCCTTAAACTTAACATGGATTGTTTCAAATACAAAGCAGGGCTAATAATTATTATTACAAATAATTCCTAAATTATAATACATATATTTGCTTTTGATATTCCCCTAATAAATAATGAACTGTTCCAAATCAAAAACTATACAAATTCTGCAGTGAGAATGTTAATATTTAACCTATTTATGTTTTTTCCTGACCACATTGAACTTTAACATTATGTTATGCAGGTACTGGGATTTTGTTCCGGGACAAGATTCAAGCCACAACATTCCTTGTTGGTGAAGACGTAACTTTCACAGCTAAAGTCGTGTCAGAGACAGGCGAGATACCCGTGGTCACATGGTACAGAGACGAACAGCTTCTGTCCGATGATTACAGGTAAACCTAAACCCTTTTTGCAAATTTTGTCCTGAAAATCATTTAACTTATCACATTGACTGTGAATATCAATGTATATATATGTTTTTTTTTCATTGTAGCAAATATTTAGAAAATAGAAATACATGTACATGTACTTATTGACTAAATTAGTATAGTTTTGGAGCTAAATTACATACCTTTTATGAATTCCTTTCATCTAATGCATACATGTGACAAATGAAATGGGCCAAATCTGGATTTTCAGCTGGATTTTGAGGCTCAAAACTGGATTTTTTATCGACTTGAAATTCAATGCGTGTTTGGCACATTTGATATTTTTGTAATTAGGTAAATTTCTGCTTACATTTACCACCTCATGATCCCTATAGCATAATAGATAATTAAATGTAATGAGAATTTGTCAAAACTTATAAACGACACAACCTTATTATGTTAAATATCACATTTTGTACATGTATTTTGGGCCTTGCCCTTTATTTACTGAATAAATCTTTTGACTTGACTTGACTTAAACCATTCTAGATTTAAAAAAGCGAGAGCATCAGATTTCTAATTTCTGGTAGCTGGTTCAATCCTTGGGGGAAGGTGAAATGTCTCAGTGAAAATTGACTTGGGACATTGATTCTAATGGTCATTTGTCTTTCACTACTATAGAAATCATTTGGGATTTATTCAGTAGTTGGTTACTTGCTGGGAATTTGGTATTTACTGATCAGTTATCCAGGAAAGCTGGTAAGGTTGATATACCACAGAGAGATGACCAAACAATTTGTAAATATAGGCCTAGGAACGCTTCAAACAAACACTTGTCACAGGGTGAGTAAAATGTTCAGTCTGCCCTGACTTCAAGGTTTTGTAAAACTTGAGTCTAAATCCTGTCTCAAATCTCAAGATTTTCATTGGTCAGTGTACATTCTGTGACAGTTTCTGACCAATCAAGTACCTGAGATCTGAGTTTGAGCTTGGAGAATTTCTCAAAACATTGGTAGAAATAGCCCTGGAAACACTACAAACACTAGTCACAGTGTGAGAAAATGTGCTGTCTGATCAGGACTCGAACCCACAGGACCCTCAGGATACCATTGAGGGCAGAGCTATACGACTGCTTACACATTTTCTTCCCTGAATAGTGAACATCTCTGAACTGTGACACACTGATAATTCTAAAGTGATATTATGAAAATATTTTCATTATGCAGGTTCAATATTTCAGGGCGGATGCTTCCTTTAATCCAGAGACAGGACTTGCTAAATTAAAGATAATTAAAAGTAAGGATTATGATGCGGCAGTGTACAAGTGTGTGGCCAGGATCAAAGAGGGGCGTGTCTCATGTGAGGCGAGGTTATTTCTGGGAGGTAAGACTATATGACTATATATAGCATGAAAAATAACAGGCAGAAGAGCTGTGTATAGCAGTTTTAGTCCTTTTTTGTTTAAAACAATTTTCTTTTCTAAATTTAGCAAAATTGTCAATAAGCTGCATGGAATTTGTTCTAGCATCATAGAAAACTGATGATTACTTTATATGGCATGAAAAATAACATGCAGAAGAGCTGTGTCTAGCAATTTTAGTCCTTTTTTGTTTAAAATAAGTTTTTTCCAAATTTAGCAGAATTGTCAATAAATTTTTCAGAAATAGTTCTAACATCTATGGTCTTAGAAAATTGGTGATTACTTTGTGTATGACATGAGTCTATCTCTGGAAGACTAGAAAATTGGAGATATCTTTGTATATGACATGAGTCTATCCCTGGAAGACTAAAAAATTGGTGATTTCTTTGTGTATGACATGAGTCTATCTCTGGAAGGCTAGAAAATTGGTGATTTCTTTGTGTATGACATGAGTCTATCTCTGGAAGACTAGAAAATTGGTGATTTCTTTGAGTATGACATGAGTCTATCTCTGGAAGACTAGAAAATTGGTAATTTCTTTGTGTATGACATGAGTCTATCTCTGGAAGGCTAGAAAATTGGTGATTTCTTTGTGTATGACATGACTCTATCTCTGGAAGACTAGAAAATTGGTGATTTCTTTGTGTATGACATGAGTCTATCCCTGGAAGACTAGAAAAATGGTGAATTCTTTGTGTATGACATGAGTCTATCCCTGGAAGACTAGAAAATTGGTGAATTCTTTGTGTATGACATGAGTCTATCTCTGGAAGACTAGAAAATTGGTGATTTCTTTGTGTATGACATGAGTCTATCCCTGGAAGACTAGAAAATTGGTGAATTCTTTGTGTATGACATGAGTCTATCCCTGGAAGACTAGAAAATTGGTAATTTCTCTGTGTATGACATGAGTCTATCTCTGGAAGACTAGAAAATTGGTGATTTCTTTGTGTATGACATGAGTCTAGAAAAATGGTAATTTCTCTGTGTATGACATGAGTCTATCTCTGGAAGACTAGAAAATTGGTAATTTCTTTGTGTATGACATGAGTCTAGAAAAATGGTAATTTCTTTGTGTATGACATGAGTCTATCCCTGGAAGACTAGAAACATGGTAAATTCCCTGTGTATGACATGAGTCTATCCCTGGAAGACTAGAAAATTGGTAATTTCTCTGTGTATGACATGAGTCTATCCCTGGAATAGAAAATTGGTGAATTCTTTGTGTATGACATGAGTCTATCTCTGGAAGACTAGAAAATTGGTAATTTCTTTGTGTATGACATGAGTCTATCCCTGGAAGACTAGAAAAATGGTAATTTCTTTGTGTATGACATGAGTCTATCCTGGAAGACTAGAAAATTGGTAATTTCTTTGTGTATGACATGAGTCTATCCCTGGAAGACTAGAAAATTGGTGAATTCTTTGTGTGTGACATGAGTCTATCTCTTGAAGGCTAGAAAATTGGTGATTTCTTTGTGTATGACATGACTCTATCTCTGGAAGACTAGAAAATTGGTGATTACTTTGTGTATGACATGAGTCTATCTCTGGAAGGCTAGAAAATTGGTGATTACTTTGTGTATGACATGAGTCTATCTCTGGAAGACTAGAAAATTGGTGATTTCTTTGTGTATGACATGAGTCTATCTCTGGAAGACTAGAAAATTGGTGATTTCTTTGTGTATGACATGAGTCTATCTCTGGAAGACTAGAAAATTGGTGATTTCTTTGTTTATGACATGAGTCTATCTCTGGAAGACTAGAAAATTGGTGATTACTTTGTGTATGACATGAGTCTATCTCTGGAAGACTAGAAAATTGGTAATTTCTTTGTGTATGACATGAGTCTATCTCTGGAAGACTAGAAAATTGGTGATTGCTTTGTGTATGACATGAGTCTATCTCTGGAAGACTCAACAGTCTTACAGAAATTACTGTTTTTCAGCATAAAATGCCTTTTCTTTAAAAATCAATTAAATAATTTGAAAAGAACAATGGTCTGAAGTGTAATATTTTATTATTGTAGATGTACCAAGCAAGCCTGGACGCCCATTGGTAACTCAGACTTCCGGTACAGAGGCCTTCTTGACCTGGACCGGACCAGTATCAGACGGCAACGCTTATCTCCTTGGTTACAGAGTGGACTATAGGAAGGAAGGTTAGTTCTTTTATTTTAGTATGAATTGTATACAAGACATACCTACATGTATGCCACCTGTCTGTCCACTTAGCTTAATAGAGAGTGCACCAGATTAGAAAACCAAGGCTTGCTGGTTTAGACCTTGAGCAAGTTGAAAATTCCCTGTGACATGTGATCTTGGACAGAGTATGTAATTGTAAAAATGATTGGTTTTTTCATAAAACAGAGACACAATAAGTTTACAAACCATAATGGGTCATATAACTTGTCAAAAAATCTACTAGGTCAAACACCCAGTCAATGGAAAAATATATTAGGGCATTAAGTCTATCAAAAGTTGTTATACAATTGAAAAAAGGTCATATAACATGTAAAAAGTTGTATTTTAAGTTATTTAACCGGTCTAAGAAAAATTTACAGCAGGATATATAATCTTGTCAAAGCATTTAAATATAATAACACATATGAATATACATTGTAACCTGGCATGAAAAAGATGTAACCTGGCAAAATTTTTATGGTAGGCCATATAACCAATACTCAAAATAATGATTGTAACATAAAATATACATTGACTTGCAGATTTTATGAAATTATTATGATAAAATGATTTTTGCAGGTGAAAAGAAATGGACACAGGGTCCATATGTTACAGAGGAGTATGCATTACTGTCTGGACTGGAACCAGATTCTACCTACATATTTAGAGTGTCTGTGCATAATAGATATGGAGCCAGTCCATTTAGCTGGTCGTCATTGGAAACAAAAACACTTGCAAAAGGTATTTTTGTTCAAGCATATTTATTCTATTTTTAAAAATATATCTTAATTCTTTGTGTTAAATATCTAATGACATACATGTAAATGCTGTTTTTAGCATTTTAAGAATTAAAAAATTTACTAGTAAATTGTAAAATAAAAAGCCAAATCATTAGTACCAGATTTAAAAGGATTCATTGAATTTTCTCTAACTTGAACGCAAGTCTGTGTTAATTTTGTAACTTACAAGTACAGAAGTATTGATATGATGATAATAGGTGAAAAAAAAGTACAGTGCATGTTATGTTTTCTATAGAGAAGTAACACGTCTTTAATGCTGAACTATCGTTTATTAACTGATTTGATACAGAGCGTGGCATGCTAAGATAGGGTTAGTAGGCGGGGCTTATTAGTAATACATTCTGACCAATGAATAACAGAGTTATACACAACAGTTCTTCCTTCTTAACATTTTAGTCCATTATCATATAATTAATACTAAAAATATAATCAAATAACAAGAAAGAGACAACTGGTTGAATCATTTAACAACATGAGATATACGAGATTAATTCATTCGTAAACCAGATCAAACTATCGACCTATTGTTCGTAATTCACCTTTGACTTTTACTACAGTTCACACGAGTTCATTCAGTGGTATGTTTTACAACAAAATAGTGTAATGTTTAATTAGATAGCACATTAACTGTCTGTACGCTCTCGAATGTTTATACAGTTACGTAGTCAACTCAGTATGAGAAACGATTAGGTGGTTTGCGTTCTCTCAATGGGTATCTTCGTTCCATTAACATTTGATCTGATCTTTTATTTTCATTTAATGATGGCATTTTCTCAGGATTACCAGTTACTAACAAAGGGTCATTTCTCTCGGTCATAACTGGCATTTCTGACAAATTAAGCGGGATCATGTTTAACGGTGAACTTTCTCGGCGAGAAAGCTCATTATTCATTTCTGATTTCCGTAGCTGGTCAACATGCCTTCTCCAGACTTGATTGTTACCGATATCAATTTTATACATGAGAGGTCCCTCGCGGGATAAAATTGTACCGATAACCATTTTTCGGTTGAAGTAGGCCTATAGTCTCGCGCTATTATTGAGTCTCCTTCTTTAAACTCTCGGAAATTTCGCGATTCCGATGTTGCCAGTTTCATTCTTTGTTTTTCGACATAACCGTCTATATCCGGTTTTAATAAGTCTAACTTGCTTCGCAAACTTCTGCCCATAAACATCATTGCAGGACTTTCTTGTGTGCTTTGATGTACAGAATTGCGATATGTTAACAAGAAATTTGCCAACATAAGATTTAGGTCTCCTTTATCAAATTTCATTGCTCGAATTCTTGACTTAAAAGTGCCGTTCAAACGTTCCACTAAACCATTTGTGGACGGTTTAGCAACTGCGGTTCTTATATGAAAAATACCGTTATTTTTCATAAATTGCGCAAATAAATCTGATGTAAATTGTACACCATTATCGCTTACCAATTGTTTTGGTATACCATAACGACTAAATATGGTCCTTAATACATTGACTGTTTTTTCGGCAGACGTACAATTTCCCATATCCTCTATTTCAGCCCATTTGCTTCGAGCACAAACTATTACTAGGAACATATGACCTTGAAATGGACCTACAAAGTCTACATGAACGCGTTCAAAATTAGAGCGCGCATTTTCCCATGGGTGAAGTTGAACTTTTTCTGGCATTTTCTGCTGCATCTGACAGCCCTGACAATGTCTCACCATGTGTTCAATGTCTGAGTCAATGCCAGGCCACCAGACATAACTTCGCGCTAAATTTTTCATTTTAACTATTCCACTGTGGCTACAGTGCAGAAGATCTAAAACTTGACCTCTGAGTTTCTCAGGAATAACAACTCTAATTCCCCACATTAAACAGCCTCTTTGAATAGTTAATTCGTTCCGGCGCGTGTGATAACCTTTCAGGACAGGGTCATTTAAGTTCAGACTCCAGCCCTTGTTTACATTTTCGTAAACACGCGATAAGATAGGTTCTCGCTGCGTTTCACGCTTGATTTGCGCGCTAGTTATAGGAAGTTTATCAAATTGTTCATTGAAAAATACTTCCTCAAAATTACTTTCATTTTCTAATATTGATGGCGCGGGCAAACGTGACATTCCATCGACATTAGTATGTTTCTTAGTACTTTTATATTCTATATCACAATCAAAGCCTGACAAATAAACCACGTATCGTTGTATTCTCGCAGCAGAAGTGGCAGGAATGCCCTTGCTCGGAGAGAATATAGACAACAGTGCTTGACAGTCTGTTATCAGCGTGAATTTTCGACCATATAGATACGGATAATATTTGTGTACTGCCCAGTATATTGCAGTAGCTTCCCTTTGTACTTGCGCGTACATTCTTTCAGACTTTGATAGCGAACGGCTTGCAAATGCAATTGGTTTCTCACTGCCATCAGGCATTACATGTGATAATATTGCAGAAATACCGACAGGGGAAGCATCCGTTGCTAACCGTACGGGTAATTTCGGATCGTAATGCGTAAGGACGGGTTCTGACGTAATCAAATCTTTTGACTTCGCAAACGCGTTTTGACATTCTTTAGTCCAAACAAACTTACGCCCCTTTTCTAGCAGTTGATTTAGCGGTTTAATTACCGTGGCTAGGTTATTTAAGAACCTATGATAGTAATTTAGTAATCCGAGATATGCCCTGAGAGATGTGACATTTTGTGGACGTGGTGTATTTAAAATAGAATCCACCTTATCATTACATTTCCACAGACCGTTTTCATCAATTTCATGACCACAATATGTAATCCTCTCTTGAAAGAACTGACATTTTTCTTTATTCACTTTTAAACCATATTTTGACAACCGTTGCACTACTGTTTCTAAGTTATTTAAGTGAGCTTGATCATTTTCTCCTGTAATATCATCGAGAATGCACTGTACTCCTTGTATTCCTTGAAGAATTTGATCAATTGTCCTTTGCCATATTGCAGGTGCTGATGATACTCCATATGTCAATCTATTATAAGAATATAGACCTTTGTGAGTGTTAATCGTTAACATTTCTTTTGTTTTGTCATCGCACTCCAATTGAAGATATGCTTGGCGTAAATCCAACTTTGAATATTTCTTTCCATTTGCCAAATTCGCGAAAATGTCCTCTATTCTCGGGAGTGGGTATTTATCTACATTTATAGCTTGATTTACGGTGACTTTGAAATCTCCACAAATTCTTACTCCTCCCGAAGATTTAACTACGGGCACAATAGGTGTAGCCCATTCTGATGTATTCACTTTCGTAATAATGCCCTGTTCTTCTAGAATGTCTAATTCCTTTTCTATTTTCGGCTTTAACGAATATGGTACTGGCCTAGCTTTTACGAATTTCGGTGAAGCATTCTCTTTGACAGATAGCGTTGCTTTAATATCTTTAACTTTCCCGATACCGTCGGAAAACACTGACTCATATCGCTTCATAATATCGGCTATACGTGTTTGTGTTGAGTGATCATCAATTGAATTCACATGTACAATACGTGACCAGTCCAATACAATTTCATTCATCCAGTCCCGTCCAAACAATGCGGGACCGTTGCCCATGACAATACACAGTTTCAGCGATTTTGACTGTCCATTGTACCTTACATTTACCAGTTTTGTTCCGGCTTGCTGTATTTCTTCACCAGAATATGTCTTTAACACTGATGTGGGCCTATCCAATGTAACATTTCCAAAACACTTCTGGAACTCTTCTCTTGACATCAGAGAAACAGCTGAGCCCGTATCGACTTCCATTTGTAAGGGTCTGTAGTCTATCTCTGGTGTGATGGTGATTTTCCTGCTCGAACCTTTGGTCACGGAATTTATACTCATCACAGGAACGTCGTTGTTGTTCATGGCATGTACGTCTCGTGCACGTGCTTTCAGACAAATACTTTTTATGTGTCCATGTGCATTACATGCATGGCAAATGGCATTCTTAAATCGGCATTTGAAAGATGCATGATTATCTTTACCACAGTGAATGCATTTTCCGTTTTGTTTCCCGGTCGAGTTTGCGGTCGCCGGTTTTTGCCGTGGCCTGTGTTCAACTCTTCTCGAAGGTTTCCTTTTCTCAACCTTATTTACACTTGCGGTCAACGACTGAAGTTCTGCGGCGTCCCTCGTTGCTGTTTCCATAGCAACTGCTGTTTCAACAGCCTTCTTTAAACTTAAGTCTTCCATCGACAATAGTTTACGCTGTATGTGCTCATCTTTAAGTCCACAAACTAAGCGGTCCCGTAACGTATCGTTTAGGCTGGCTTGGAAATCGCAATCTGCCAATTTCCTCAGTGTAGTTACATAATCATTTACACTTTCACCCGCCGCTTGGTTTCGTTTGTGAAATCTAAATCGTTCAGCTATAATCAATGGCTTTGGGTTAAGATGTTTATTCAATAATTCACAAAGATCGTCATATGACTGTGTTGAAGGTTTGTCCGGTGATGTCAAATTTCGAAGTTTTTTCTCCAAGTAAAGTTAATAAAGCTGGAACTTTTTTCTCATCGTCTATTTCATTTACTAAAAAGTACTGCTCTAAACGTTCTTGATAGCATGTCCATGATTCTGAATTGCCATCAAATCCAGATAAATGTCCAATTAATGCAGCCATTTTAACACTTATAAATTAAATCCAGAATTTTACACATATTATGATAATAACATTAATATCTAATAGATAAAATCCCCGAAATTTAATGTTCAATTATCCTCGTCGCCAGATTGTTATGTTTTCTATAGAGAAGTAACACGTCTTTAATGCTGAACTATCGTTTATTAACTGATTTGATACAGAGCGTGGCATGCTAAGATAGGGTTAGTAGGCGGGGCTTATTAGTAATACATTCTGACCAATGAATAACAGAGTTATACACAACAGTGTATTTAAAGCTGCATGGGTCCAGATAAGCCAAAATATTTCAAAAACAAATTTACAAATATTTTAAAGGAAAGTGAAAAGATTAAAGATTCAACTAATAATTGACATGTTATGTGCGAGTAATGACTGTATTTGTAGCATTTTTTACCGTATTTCTACTAACACATTTAAGGCTACTTTTGTATATTTTGATCTCTTCTGGGTAATTTAAGTGGATTGTAAGTGCCATTTGCATTGTGTAAATGAATATCTTTTTTTTACTTCTCAATATTTTACTTTTAAATACATTTTGGGAGACTTAATATTTTGGTTATTGTTGAGAGGTGATTGTTATAGAGAGGTTAAATCTATTATGAACTTTTAGTTTGGAAGATGTAAAGAGGTAATTGCTTATTAGAGGGCCACTCTATAGAGGTTATTCTGTATATTGTCTTTGTGTTCAAAGTCTAGGTGAAATATTTTAAGTGTTGTTTTTTTAACTGTTGTGTGTCCCACATGAAAAATAAACATCCAGCAACTAACATGGATTGAAAATTTAGGGACAAATGTCTTCTCCATTCGCGGAAAAACGGAAGAAGTTTTGAAATTTAAGGAGAAGTGGTGCTAAAATGTAACATCTCATAAAATCAAACTATAACTTTTGGGGTTTTTTTTTTTCCAATTTTTTTTTCACGATATAATAATAACATAGTGTAACAAGTAGGCCATCAATAAAGCACCCTATATCTTTTAGTATCAGAATTGCCTTTAACATTGGTCAAAATTGATAAGGTTAAATATATTTTTTCATCAATTTAAAATTTATTTCACCAATTTCCAAACAGATGCACCAAAAGTCTCAGTTGCCATGGATCTTCAACCATTGATGCAATTTTCAACATTTGACAAACAGCAGTTGATCCTCCCAGCAGAAAGCAGACGGCCATCTCTCACTGTAGCCGAGGAGCCAAAAATAAATGAGATTGATCCAAATGAGAGCTTCACTTTTACAGATACCATTTCTAAGTATGAAATTTCATATTTAATAAATCTTTAAAGGTGCTCCACTGAAAGCCTAAAAGTATAAAATTTGAATGAAAGCCTAAAAGTATAAAATTTGAAATTTTTATGGATCAAGTGAAGCAATAAAAAGTGGAAAAAACCTGCAAAGAATAATAAAATAATATCCAATAAAACAAACATACATTTATTTTCTAGTTGTTTTTGTCAACTGATTAAGCAACTTGCAAGTCTTTTGGTACTTAATTTCTAAATCATACTGTTAATGAAAACTGAAATTTTTTATCATTCATCAAAAGATGAAGTAAAACAATGAGAGATTAATAAACTTATAAACGATTTATAACGAGTAATTTACATAAATAATTTATGTATATTTACAGGGGAAGCTATGGTGAATATAAATTGTGTACAAGTAAATCAACAAACCAGCAGTGTGTGGCAAAGATAGTCCCCTACAATAAGGACAAGAACGCGAGCATCACGGCTGAGTTCGAGCTCCTGCGTACCTTGAGCCAAGCCAACGTTGTCAGCGTTCTAGACAGTTACATAAGTGTCGATCAGTTTTATGTGATTTATGAACATCTCTCTGGAATTAATATTGTGCAATATTTCTGTCTACACAAAACATACAAGGAAGAAACAGTTGCTCGCCTCGTGCGACAGGTGCTTGACGCACTTCAATACCTCGAACATTTCGGAATCGTTCACCTCAATCTTCAGCCAGCAAGCATGGTGATGGCGACAAGGAGAAGACCGCACGTAAAATTACGCGACTTTACGATGGCTCACAAGGTCGAGGATGATAAAGGAGTAAAAGTTCCGCTGGCTGGTTATCCTGACTTTACACGTGAGTATTGAAAAAAATGAAATATACGAAATCTGTGATCATCAAGTGTTATGAAAATAAATATTTCATGAGTAGCAATAGCCACAAGTACAATATGATAGTTTTTATAACACAAGATTGAAAAAAAAGTTCCATATTAATAGGAAAAACTTGAATTTTCTGTTTGTTTTAGATTTTTTCTCTTTTCTTTTTTAAACTTATTGAAAATAATTCGTATTGGCTGAATTTAGCAGAAAGTAGTCCGGCAAGACACCAGAGAAAATACAAAAATATGTTTCACTGCAGTGACTAATATCATGAGCATAGGGAGACAAATTTTTATTTTTAGTGTATCGATTATCAGCAAAAAATCGTCTGATTGACAAAAATATCAGTATTTTTATGATCTGAAAAATGAAATAATGTTAAGATGGATGCCAGGTAGCATGGGCCTTATGTCATTTTGGTTTCATTATTACAATTTAAAGTGGGATATCTTCTATGATAACATGTTTATTGTTATGCATCTTTGTTAAAGATCTATATATATATTCAGAATTTATGTATCTTAAAAAAATATGGTTATTATTTTAAATATGTTATTATAATGTTGGGGATTTTTACCCTATAACTTTTCCAATTCAAAACAGTGCACATTTATTACATGACAATTTAGCAGGTAAAAGGAAATCCAGTCCACTGAGGTTTTTTTATGATTGAACTAGAAATAATTTTTCGAGATAAATGTTCATGTATTGTTGTATGTTTAGACCAGTAAATTGTGTACAAAATTTCAGATCATTCCATCTCTCCATTTTTCGAAAATGATTATTTAAATTGTGAACAATGACCCAAAATTGAAAAGCATTGCAATGTTTTTCATTTAAATCGGACAAGAATAGCTCAAAACACACTGTTTTCACTTTGTTTCTGAGTATATTCCTTAATCATTTTGGTTACATAGGTGCAAACCCGGGTTATAATATGGTAAATGTCGGGCGGGCGGGGAAAAACTTTTCGTAACAGTTTTCTCAGCAACTACTTTTTCACAGCCTCTTGATATTTCGCATACAGCATTGACACATGGTCCCATACCTTGATTCAATTTCAGGTCTGGTGCTCATTCATTTCCTCTTTATCCACTTAGTTAAATTTTCGACATTAATGGTCAATGGTAAATTTGGTAGGAAATTTTCGTAACAATTTTCTCAGCAACTAAGTATCACAGCCTCTTGATATTTGGCATACAACATTGACACGTGGTCCCATATGGTGGTATTTGAGTACAAGTCTGTCGCTCATCCACTTCCTGTTTACTGACTTAGTTAAATTTTCGACATTAATGGTCAATGGTAGGAAATTTTTGTAACAGTTTTCTCAGCAACTACGTATCACAGCCTCTTGATATTTGGTATACAGCATTGACATGTGGTCCCATACGGTGGGATTTGATTTCAGGTCTGTTGCTCATCCATTTATGGTTTAACGACTTAGTTAAATTTTCGACATTAACGGTCAGTGGTAAATTGTTTTCGTAACATCACATCATCATGATATTAAATATACAAATGCAACCCGGCCTTTTCTGTCTTTGACCTGTTGTAAGTGCCCATGCTGATCTATAAAAGAAATTCAAATTTTATGTTTTTAGGATTTTTGACATCAGTGGAGTTTCAAATGTAAATTTAGATTTACTTATTAAAATTATTTTACTTATATAAATTTTTAACTTCATAATGTAAACTTAAACTTCAAAATTTTATAGGGGTATATATTTTTATCAGAGTAATGTTTTATTAGTAGATTATTCATTGTAAATTTGTGTTATATATTATCAAATAAAAAAGTTTAAAGGCCCATTATGCCTCACAATAGCTATCATATTTATTTTTAAAATCTTTTTATTGTTGGTATCTTTTTACAGATTCCAAAACTTTAAACATTTCCCATATTTATGAACTATATTTTGCTCTTTTAGCTCAGTTGACAATTGATATAATCATCATGATCATAGTGAATAAGTATTTTGTATGGAAGTCTAAATACTATTTTGTCTATATATTGCCACCTTTTTGACTTATTACTGCACATTTAGCGCTACTTTCTTCAGTTGTTAGACATCAAACATGCTGTTAATGCATTATTTAAACATAAATTATAAACATTAATTGATACATATTTGACATTTCTAAAGTATCAAAAAATCAAAGATTTCTGAGGTATAACGTGCCTTTAAAATTCTTCTTTTACAGCACCAGAAATTCTTAAAGGGGAGAATGTAAACTTCACAGCAGATTTATGGACCCTTGGAGCTGTAACTTTCACCTTGTAAGTTTATATTTTCATATGTAATGAATCAATAACTTAATGATATAATAACTCCTTTAATATCTTCTTTTATGATAAATTTTGAACCCCAACATCTGTAGTGATGCATCAGGGAATCCATTTTTGGGGAGGTTAATTGGTTTATTTTCCTCTTCTGGCTAACTGTCTCTGTAATCAGTTAAAGCTGCATGCCTTAGATGAGCCAAAATATTTCATTAAAATCAAACTTGAGAAAAAGTAAACAGATTCAAGTAATAATTTACATGTTACATGCGATGCAAGACTGATTTTCATATACTAGCAATATTTCAACTGAGTGACTAATGCAGTATTTAGGGCTATTTTTCTATATATTTTAATCTCTTTGGTAATTTCATGGGTTGTAAGTGCCATCTGTAAGGTTTTAATTGCTTCCTTTCGGTTATTTCACAATAGCACGAATTTGGAGGCATGCTGTTTTAACATTATTGTTATTAATTTACTTTTTTTGCAATGGTTTAAATTATATGCATCATTTTATGTTAATTAACACCAACTACATTAATTGGCATTATTTTACGTTAATTTGCATCATTTTACGTTAATAAACATCATTTTACATTAACACCATTTTACATAGATTTGCATCATTTTACATGAATTGGCATCATTTACACTAATTAACATTATTTTACACTTTATTTGCATCATTTTACATGATTTTGTTTTATTTACATAGAATGAGTGGCATTTCACCATTTGGAGGGAAGAATTTGGAGGAGACTTTGAGTCGTATTTTGTTTGACAGATACAGCACGAAGGAAATGTATGATAACGTTACTCCAGAAAGTGTGAAATTTGTAGTAAAACTTTTATCTAGACTTCCAAGGTAAGTGTGACCTCTGAATTGTTTCCCCACATCTTCAACTTTATTATACTTCAACATAGATTGATTGATACTCTTAGAATTCTTAAAGTTCACAATTATTGACGGATTTGATATTTGTTCAGTGTCATCTCTTAAAAAGTAGTTTATCTCAATAGGGGGAGGTAATATGGGAAAAAATAGATTTGAACAGTAGCAAGGGAGGTAATTGAAATAGCATTTTCAGGCAAGAGTTATCTATGGCTCAAGATTAGGGCCAGGCTAGCTTGAATGTCCTTACAGTCTGTCAGTCTATATATTGACAGTAAAACGAGCAATACGAGTATATTTAGTTCAATGAAGCTGTCTGTTGTGTATTAAAACAAGTTTCTAAGTTTCTAACAAGCTTCACACTATTCAACTATCAAAGAGATAGGGAAGTCATGTGCATTATATCATGATATATGAACAACATAAATAGGAATGATTACACGCCATTAGAAAAACCAAAGGAAGTCAGGAAAAATTATATCTTCGCTCAATGTAGTTCAGTTATATTCCTACGCACTTGAACTGTGCATTATTCTATGACAATGCACTCAAAATTGATATCTATTTCATAAATATATACTATATGTAACAGATATCTTATGTAACCACAATCACATACTTGTCCCAGAGTACCCCACCTCTGAGTAAATAAATAAATAAAAATCAAAACGCATGAAGTACTCATGTCTTCATTTGTCCCACAGTATCCCAAGTTCCAGAGTACCTCAGTCTTTTTTATATTCATTTTTATCAAGATTTCTATTGATATGAAAATTTATTTTTGTCTCCAGAAATCGGCCAACTGTGACTAAATGTCTCAACTCAACATGGCTTAATCTGAATGAGAGTATGGTAAATGCCAGGAATTCCAGAATGTTCAAGTCAGAGAAACTGAGGGCCTTCTCTGTGGATTATCTGACGAAGAGATCTGACATTGACTACAGTCTAGTTGTTGTTGATATTGAAAAACTTCCAAAGGTGACCATTTGCTTTCAATACTGCATAGATTATGGGTATTTTCATTTTTTGTTTGAGATTAACTGCATATATACCATGTCATGAATCAATGAAGCCAAATTGAGTACTTGATTAGATTTAAATGTAGAACATTGTTCCAAAGAGTATACAGTTGCACAATTTTACCAAGGCTTTTATATGCTTCCTTTGGACTATACAGGTTATGATTGGCACAGACCCCATTACCTCGGTCCAAGCCGCGCCAGCGTCTTTTGATTCTTTTATGTGAGAAAGCTATCCATCTGGCTTAAGTAACATCAGTCGTTCTACTCAGGTGCCTGTTTGTGTCTAAAATAATACACAAATGGGCACATTAGGACTTCCTCCACCAGTAAAGCTGGAAAGTCGCCATATGACCTATACTTTGTTGGTGCGACATAAAACCCAACAAAAAATTTAACTGGCTAATGTTACATAGGTGAAAAACTGTTTAAAGCTAGTGGACAGTATTAAAGATCAAGCTAATGAATTGAAGTGATAGGTATGTTACTCTGTAGAGATTGTACTGTATTTTTGGAATCGCATTATGGGCATACGTGTCTGAATGCTTAGCATTTTATCAATACAAGATGGTAAAACTGGTTTTCATATAATATTTCAAGGCTTGTAGTATGTGAATCATATTTTGTCATAGTAGAACACTTTTAACCTTAGACAGTTTTTTTAGAATTATATATAATCATATTTAGTGGTAGAATAGTCCTAACCAGAGCACATTCTAAGCTCTTAACTTGCTGTAACCGAGAGTGAGTAGCTTTTGCACCAGTATAAAGCCCGGCCAATATTCTTGTCTATTCTATACAATCCGTGACTCAATTTTTGTATTTTGACAGTGGAATCAATACTGTCTGACCAGACTCTGTACTGTCAGTAGTTCGATTTTGTATTTTGACATTGGAATCCCTTAAATTTTGAACAGACTTTCGGTGACAGCAGGATAAGGTTCAATACTTTATGAATGATTTTAGAAATATCTTTTTATAATCTATATTATAACAGAAATGCATGACTGTGCACTGTGCTCAAAAACAAACCAATGGTTACAAAATTAATATTGTAAAAGATGTATTAATGAGTATCTAAAATATTATGACTATGGTTATAGTGCTTTCTTTTTTCAGTATGAAATGTTTTTTTATGTTTATAATAAGAAATTTTCTCTCTTTTTTTGGGGTCAACATGCTTTATTGCTTTTTGCATTTTATATAATATGATTTATTTTTTTATTGTAATTTTCTAATACATTTAATAAAATGAGCAAAATAACAAATCAAGCTTAACTGATTTTTCTTTAGCATTTTCAGCTTTTCCTTTATTGATAGAATCAGCTTAAATTGTTTGCTGAACTATGTTATTAACTATGTCAATCACGAATCTTGCTGATTTGTTACTCAATTTTTTATGGATTTATTTTAGTTTCTTTTTTTTCATGGATTAAATTAAAAAATAACAATTCTAACATAATATTTTTTCAGCAATTTAATGAAACATGTTTTCAAGTTATCGATGGTATTATTCTCCATTTTTAGTCATGTACACTAACTGTAAAGTACGGATGAATTTTGATTATTAATAACAAAAGATTACATTTACAGATCACAACAGGACCTTTGGTTCAACCAATTCTTAGTGACAAAATAACTCAAAGGCTTGAATCCGAAACAAAAGTAAAGAAAAAACCCATAAACCTCTCTGAATCTCTTAAAAATGAAGTTTCTAATTTGCCTGAACAACCATTGCTAGAGAAATTAGTGCATAAAATTGAAAAAGACAACGAAACAAATGACACTGTAGAGGAAACAGTTGCAGATAAGAAGAAAAATGCTGAAACAGAAAAAGACATTGATCAATCTAACACTTCTGAAATTGATGTACTTCCATCAGAAAAGAATGATCTGATTGATGGGTCTGTACTTGGAAAGGAAGAAACTAAAATATCTATTGAAGTAACGAAAGAAGCACCAGCAATACAGAATATTGAAGATGATAAGAAAGACATGAAGGAATTAGCTGCAGAGGAGGACATTGAGTGCAAGATGACAAAAACAGAGGAAGCAACAGTTAAGGAATCAGTTGTAACTGAGGAAGCAAAGAAAACAGAAGTAGTCAGTGACCAAGTTGAGGATTTTGATGCAAATATGTCGCAAGCTGTTCAGAAAACTACGGATGCAAAAACAGAGATTGAAGAAAGTATTGAGCAGAGTTCAGAAAATAAGGTAGAAAATGTTGATACTGAAAAGGAAGAGAAACTCGTTCAGTCAAATCTTACAGATGAATTGCAAGAGACAAGTGCGGACATTTCTGAAAGCAAGGAAGTCAAAACATTGATAAGTGATGTTGGGGTGTCGGAAGTTAACACAGAAAAGGCTGACAGTGAGAAAATTGAGCAGGCTATTGGTATTGACAGTAAAGAAAGTAAAACTGTTACGGAAGCTTCTCAGATTGAAAACAATACAAAGACTGCCGATCTGAAGAACACTGAAACTAAAGAAGATGTAAGCAAAACGAAGGATACAGACAAAGAAGATATACAAGTAAAGGAAAGCGACAAAATACAAGTACATGATGACAAAATACAAACAGAAAATGAAACTCAAGAAGTTGATAGTACCTTATTAGAACAAGCAGAAATTGTTCAGAAAACTGAAACAGAACAAAAACAGGAAATCGACGACAGTTTAGCTGGAGAAGATGAAGCTGCTAATAATGTTACAAAGACAGATGCTGAAAATGTTGGTAGGGATCAAAGTACAGAATTGAATGAAAATATGAAAGACGAAAAAGTGAAATCTGAAGAAAACATTGGTAAGCAAGAGGAAAAGATTGAAGATAATCAAGCCCTAGTTGAATCAAAGGAAAATTCAAATAAGATTATTGAGGTTAAAAAAGAAGAACCTGAGAATCAGGTAATGGAGAAAATAATTGAAACGCAAGAAGTACATGATCAAGTTCAAAAGGAACAAGAAGAAATTGTTTCTCAAGTAGACAATAAAAGCATATCTAAAGATGCCACTGAGACTGCTGCAGCAATGGATCAAGCAGATTCAGTTGATAAAAGTAAAGCAATTGAACAAAAAGAAAATGTTAAGATAGAAATTAAAGACACAATGATTGAAGCAGATTTGGAAAAGCAAAGTTTAGATAAGAACAAAGAGAGTGAAATTTCTGAAACAGTTCTTAAAGAGCAAGAGAATGTTGAGATTGAGCAAAGTATAAAAAATAATGAAATTGTTGAAGATAAAATTGAAAGTGTAAAAGTAGATAAAAAAGAATTAATTTTAAATAAAACTGAAGAAATATGGTCTGAAAATGAAATTGCAAAAAGTGAAAGTAATGAGGATGTTATAAGTAAAATTGCTGAATCTACTGTAGAAGAAATCAAGAAAGCCGCTATGGAAGAACTTTCTTCTGTTTTGAAAGCATCTGAAAATTCAATCCAAACTGATGCTAAAATCTCAACAGAAAAAGAGGCAAGCCCATCTCCTGTTTCAGAAGAAACAATTTCACCAGAATTAAAACCTGTCAAAAAGTCTTCAGTTCAAGATCAATCAGATTCATTAAGCGAGTCATCAGTTGATCACAAAGGAACTATAGCCAGCCAGGATGAAACAAAGTCAGAAATCGTTTCTACAGAAGCCTCTGGTTCTGCAACAGAGAAAAATCTAGAAACATCTGTTGATTTAACAGATGCTAATTCTGAAACAAAACCTGAAATATCATCTTCAGAAAGTACAGATGGTAAGACAGTATCTGAAGATGCTGCATTGAAAGCAGATGTTGACAGTCAAGCAAGCTCTGCATCTTCTGAACAAACCACATTATCTGCTGAAAGCAAGAAAGAAGAAGTATCAGTTTCAGAAACAAAGCAGACTGTTACTGGTTTGGCGGAAGGGATAGAGAAACAAACAGAAACAATTTTTACTGAACAAACATCTTCTACTGAAATCGTTTCTAAGTCAATAAATGATAAAACGGATTCTGAAATGAAAGTAATTGGAGATGGCCGAACCGAATCCCTATCTTCGGAACAAATTTCATCTGATGAGAGTAAGTCTGCGTCTTTGACTAAAGCAGCAGTATCTGAATCTGAAATTCAACAGACTGTTGAAAAAGTAAAAATCCAAACTGAGTCTGTGTCTGCAGAACAGGTATCAAATGCTGAAAACATTTCCATGTCTGCTAGTAAAGAAACAACATTTATTTCGGAAACAAAACAGATGGACACAGTAGTTGCAGAAACTAAAGAGAAAGAGAACGTATCCATATCATCAGAACAGCAATCCTCTATCAAAACTACTTCTGAAACTATGTCTGAACAGGCCGCTTCTAGTTCACAAACGAATCAGACAGGTCTTGTTACGACAGAAGCTGGAAAGAAACAAACTGAAAACATATCTTCAGAACAGATATCATCTGTGGAGAGCGATGGCGTGTCTGTGATAAAAGAGGCAGTACTTGAGTCTGAATTACAACAGGCAGAGTCGGTTTTAACAGAATCTGCGAAGAAACTTACAGTAGCCATATCTGCTGAAGGAACATCATCTGTTGAAAGCGCATCTGCGACTGAGACTATAGAAACAAAATCTGAAACTACACTTGAAAATGCAGAAATAACAGAATTTGATGGAATCACTCCTGAGACTAAAGAAACAAAATCTGAAACAAACCTTGAAAATGCAGAAGGAACAAAATCTGAGGGAAGTTTTTCTGTGACTGAGACTAAAGAAACAAAATCTGAAACAAAACTTGAAAATGCAGAAGTAATAGAGTCTGTCGAGAAAGAGGTATCAGAATCTAGAAGCATTGCATCAACTAATGAAAAGGTTTCAAGTACATCTGCAATGGAAGAGATTATGTCGTCAACAGTTTTTGAGGGTGTCGATGGCGTAATCACTAGAACAGTTACAGTTACAAAGAAACAAGAGACTGTGACAAGTGATGGAAAAGTAGTAAATGATTTAGAAGAAGTATCGACTTTGAAAACCACAACAGAGTCTTGTAACCAGGAGTCATCTAATGTAGTTGAAAGCTCGGAGTCTAGTAACGTTTCGATTACTCAGAAACAAGAAACACTTATAACAGGCGAAGAATCTGTAGGAAGTTCAGAAAGCTTAAGCATGGTTACAACGACAAAAGAAGAGCATGTTCAGGAGTCTACAAGTGTTGAAAGTTCTAATACACAGGAAGCATCTAAGGAACAGAGACAAGAGACCTTAATTGCTGGAAATATTGTATCAGATATGAAAGAGGATATAGCAATGGTTGGGGCTTCTGTTGTAGAAGAATCTCTTGTTACGTCTGCCGTTTCTAGCAGCCTAGAGATGGCAAAGGTAACTGAATCAAGAGAAACGATAAGAGAATTCATAACAAATGACCTTGATATTGAAGAAATGAAAAAAGAGCTTTTAGAAGATATGGAGATTTCTTCTGCTGACTGTGGAAAGTATCTGATGGGTTCACATGAGGATTTGTCAGCAATCAAAGAAAAGGTTGAAAAGAAAGAAGTAAGTTAGCATCACGTGATGCTGGTTTATGCTGCTGGGTGTTTTAACCTGTTCGCCATCGCTGAATATGTTAATGCGGCCTTTGTTCCTGTATCTGTAGATGTAAACAGTGTCCTTTCCAGGGTGATGTATTCATATCTCCCATACAAATGACTTGACCTTTATATAAAATCCGGTTCCCTTGGATATGACCTTGTGGTATTCCCTGTCCATGGTGTTAAAGTTTTGCAATGATGCCTTATATGTACCTATTCTATTCACAAACTCCAACCATGTTAAATGTACCAGTATTGTATTTGCTCCTGTACACAGTTTTATGAAACCTGAGCAGTGTATGCCTGTCACATCCTTAGTATAGCATCATACATTATTGTACTGTTTGATCCGTTACAGGCATGTGTATTTAAATCATACCTACAGTTTCAAAATTGGAAAAGTGAAGAGCCATTTACTATTGATAAGCTATTTTTTCTTTCAGCGTCTCACATTTGCAGATTTCAATACCCGGCATGCAGTCTGAGTGCTAGTTAGTACCTCGAGCAAACCAACAAATCCGTATCCCAACATTTCACACCCATATATTCACTTTTGATTTTGTTTTACTTATAACGGCATAGCAGTGGCGAGAACATGCCACTAAAAATGATTTAGTTTGTACCAAAACCCTGCATTTCATCCCTCTCATTCACTTTTGATTTTGTTTTACTTAGAAGACATAGCTGTGGCGAGTACGTGCCACTTAACACAATTTGGTTTGAACCAAAATCCCGCACTTCACACCTTTCAATTCACCTTTAATTTCGTATTTACTTAAAAGGCACACCAGTGGCGTGAACGTCTCACTTAAAACGATTTTGTTTGCATACTCTTTATTTGTTCCCATTCCTCTTACGTCTCTGTTTACATTCTATTGGTACTCGAAAGTATACCCAATCCCCTGTTTTACAAGTTTGCTTTAAATTACGCATGGGACTCACAGAATGAAAGTTGCATTCCTTTCCTTGATGTTCACCAATTTTTCAAAGAAGCTAACTACCTCATTTACAACTTTGCTTTCAATTACGCATTGGAATCAGTTGAATGTTTGCGGATTGGAAGTCGCTTTCTTTTTCTTGATATGTTGACCCATTTTTCCCAAAGCAGCTAAATATGCGTCTATTAATTCATTTATGAATCGTTACTTCTTGTAGTGATACAGTACTGTGTTTGTTTGTTTGATTTTTATTTTTATTGTTGATTTTTGCGCTGATTTCAACGCCATATATCGGTTGATCTACTTAACTATCTCAAAGGATAACTAACCAGTTATTTCCTATACCAAGTACAGATGTATCAACCCTTATAATTTCGAAATGAACTATGAACTACATGTATTAAACTTAATGTTCAAGATACAGTGTTTAATTATCACCCTTTAATTGGACATTATTGTATGTTTTGTAAAGTAACAAAGTTTGTGTTTCTGCTATCAGAACAAGGTATTTAAGTTTCATAATAAGTAAATTGCTATAAAATCAGGGTATTTATAAATGAGTTTTTATAATAAGTTAATAATAAATTTTATGTCTTTTCTTGACTTATCTGCATGATAATTTTAGGTTTAACTTCTTGGCATATTGAAAATATATGTAAATCAGCTAATATTTTTATGAATTTTTCAAATTGAGTGTTTCTAATTTTCTATGAAATGCATGTTAATAAAACATCAATGTTAAATAAATAATCATAAATATTGACTTTGCTCTTGAGTTCTGAATGCATTCACATACATACTAATAAGGCAAATGCAATAACTTAGCATCTAAATATAAAGATTTCAATAACAGAATATTAATATTTATTGCATGATTAATAAATTAGGATTGATATGTATTTGTTTTGGACAGGTAAGATATATAGTAACATGCCTCATTGTTTCTAAATAAACCCAATTTGTTTTGAATGTATCTATTTGATTAGCTTATTTTCTTTATAAAAATTTTCTTTATCTTGAACAACAACTTTTTATTTGTTGCAGAAATCTTCTAGTTTGTCTATAACTCCGAAGTTATTATTTATAAATTTAAGTTCTAAAATAAAAAGGTGCATATCTCAGTATTGTACCATTATAGGTTTTTTTTTCATATTATTAACTCACTAGCGGGAACCTTGAATCTCTGCTCGTCCACAGCAAATGTTGTCAAATGTTTTAATTTTCATTATTATATATAATATGTTTATATAATGGTTGATGCTTCAACAAAACAATATATTTTAGTCATATTATTACAGTTTTAATTTGATATTGATTATTTTTTTTTATTGACAGTAAAAAATATTGCTTTGATTTTTAAATAAAACTTAAACGCTTAAGTTCTTATAGTAATAATACACTTCTTTTAACACTTCTCTATATGTCAGGCATTTAAGATATCACATAAGGTTTAAATATATATTTTTTTCATAAAACTTTTACTTTTTCTCATTTTGTATTATTCATTGTCAGCGAATGGCTTAACAATTTGTATGATTTATATCAAATGCTTCACAATTTATGACTTGTATGATTTAAGCAATAAGTTTATTTCAACGATTTGCTGTATTAATATATTTTTTACCATTTGTATGATCTATTTCATATGTTTCAATTTACGATTTGTATGATTCTATAGGTTTACATTTATGATTTGTATGATTTGTTGTTAAAGAATATTTTCACGATTTGTATGATTTATTTTATTTCTTTAATTTACGATAAGTACAATTCATTCAATTTGCTGACTTTAATTTTTTAGCTCACCTGTCAAACATAATATAGTGACAGGGTGAGCTTTGCCATTTCCCCAAACCTTTTATTTTGAAAAATTTCAAAAATTTAAGAAATTAAAAAAAATTTCAACGGGAAATTTTATTTATTTAAAAATTGTTAAAAATTTTAATTAATTTTTTTGGGTTTTTGGCCAAAAAAAGAAAAATTTAATTCTTTTTCAAAAAAAACCCCAAAAATTTGTTTTGACAGGGTGAGCTTTGTTTATTTTTTCTTTTTTAAAAAACCAAAAACTAGGGTTAACCAAAAAATCTTTTGGGTTTTTCCAAAGGGAAAAAAGGGGGGTAAAAAAAGGGGGGGGTTTTTTTATTTTTTATTATATATAAAAAAAAAAAAATTTTTTTTAAAAAACCCAAAGATAAGAAAAATTTTTAATTAAAAAAATTTTTAATTTGAAAATTAATTTTTTTAAAATCCCCGGGAAAAAAAAATTAGCCCCCCTTTCTTTTTTTAAAAAAAAAAAAAAGTTTTTTAAAAATTCTTTAGTAATAAGTAAACTTCTTTTAAATTCTCAATTTTTTCAAACCCCTTTAAAATTTCCCCCTTGGGGTTAAAAATTTTTTTTTTAAAAAAAAACAAAAAAACTTTTTCCCTAAAATTTTTGTTTTAACCTTTTGGCACCCAATTTGCCTTTAACCAAATTTTTTTAAATAAAATTTTTCAAAATTCCCCCCTTCAATTTTCCTTTATTGAAATTGAAAAACAAAAAATTTTTTTTAAAAACCCAAATTTGCTGATTTAAATTTTTTTAAAAAACCTTTTTTGGGGGGAACCCTACAAAAGTTTTAAAAAAAGTTTGGGTTCAAAAGGCCCCCCCATTTATGTTTTTAAATATTTGTTTTTAAAAAAAAATTTTCCAAACGATTTTTTAAATAAAATTTTAAATTTCCCTCCTTTTTAAAAAAAACCGGGATTTAAACCCCCCCCTTAAATTTTGGTGGGATTTTGGGATTTTTTTGTATATTTAAAACATAAGGCTGACAATCAGTTCCAAAATAACGCGTGGACGATTTTAATTTTAAAGGCGATATGCCCTTTTAAACCTTTTTAAAAATAACTTTTCGCCCGGGCTTTTTTTAAAATTTTAACCCGGGATGGGGGAGGAGTTTTGAAAAGGAAACAACCAATGGGCTAAAAATGGGATAGGCCTTTGATGTTTTTTTAATGTTTGGCCATTTTTGGTTTTTTAAAAAGAAAGGGAAACTTTTTTTACCTATAAAATATTTAAAAAATGAAATTTAATAAGAAAATTTTTGGGCCCCAATTTTTCTTAATGGGCAAAAAGAAACTAGGAAAAAAATTTTTTTGGTGAAAATTTTTGCAAAAAAAATTTTTCAAATTTTGGGGCAAAATCCCCAAAATCAAAAAAAAAAGATTTAAAACATTATTTAAATTATAAGCTGTGATTAACAAGTGTAATTATTTTTAAATGAAATTTGGGCATTGTTCCCAATTTATTGGACATATAGAAAAAAAACGATTTTTTTCCGTCTGTTTTTTCAGTTTAAAATTCCCTTATGACGTACCACTTGAAACATCCCTTTGCATTGGGATTTTCGTTTAAAAAATGATTGAGAAGTAAATGATTCTAAAATTTTAAAATTTTAAAAAGGGAAAAAATGTAATGATATATAAAATTTTTTAATTTTGAGGAATTTACTTTTCTCCCTTTCAAAAACCCAAATTTTAGAAAGGGACTTTGAAACCATCCTTTTTTTCCCGACTTGTACTACCCTTTTTATTTATCCTTGATAATAAAACCAAAGGTACCAGAAAAGGAAAAGTCAGGTTACCTGTTTGGGCCATAAACATGTAGAAACATATTTTCGAAAAAAACCGGGTCCCAAAGTTTTTGATACCCGGGTTTCCCCGGGCATGTCGGGTTCCCCCTTGAGAATAACCCAAAGGGTAACCTTTTTTAAAAGATTTGGGTTTCCGACTTTGTGTGACTTGTAGCAGGCATTTGAAGACATTAAAAATTTTTTTAAAAAAAATACTGAAAATTTTAAAAGAAAAGTAATTTTTATGTTTTGGGGAAATTTCCCAAGAATTTTTTCAAAGACAAAAAAGATATTTTTTTAAAAATTCTTTGAAATATAGAATTTAAATTTTTTGGAAAACGAGGGGTAGTTTCCTAGAAACTCCCTAACAAAAACCCTATTTTTTTTTGGTTTTTTAAATTTTGTTAAACACAAACCCAATTGTATAACCAATGTAATATATAAAAGTGCAATATCTTATTTTCATTAAAAATTTGGGATTTTTTTGCAATTCCTTTTATTGATTATTATAATTTTTTAAGTAATTTAAACGATGTTTTTATGGGAAATTTTTAAAAATTAAATTGCAAAACCCGACAAAAGTCCTTTTCTTTTTTAAAAAATTTGGCGGGAAAGGGGTTTTCTCTAATGTAAAAGATCGTCTTTTAAAGTGAATTTTTTGTAAATATGTTTTTTAAATTTATTAAAAGGGGCGACACATAAGTAGCTAGTGCAATATTTTTTAAACTTTTAATTTTTGGAAATATTTCTTTTTTTTGCTTTTAATTTTACCCAGGGAATTTTTAAATACTTT